CATACCTCTCCTCCCTCTACAGATGTTCCTGGTGTCTACTCTATTTCTTGCTCCTCCTGTCCTCTTCAATACTTCGGAGAAACTGGTCAATCTCTTTCTGGCAGACTTAGGGAGCACAAAAATAGTGTTAGGCTTGCCGACATTAACAATGCTCTTTTCTGTCACGTCAGAGATCATAGCCATCCTATTGACTGGTCTTCTGCTAAAACTGTCTTCCCTACTTCCAACTCGAACAGTCGCCGTCTAGTTGAATCCTCTCTAATACACAACTTTCCTTGTATTGAACCTAGCCCTGGCTTCGTCTCTGTAGATGCCTTCCTCTCACACTACATTGTAAAATGCTCCAAACTTCAGAACACCCCGACTTAACCTGACTCCTCACTTTTTCTTTTTCTTTTTCTTTTTCTTCTTCTCCCTCTTCCCCTTTCCTCTTTCCTTTCTCCTCTGTGTTGTCTTTCTCTCTTCTGTCTCGTGTTTCTGTTTCTTCTTCATTTATTTCACCACTTCCCCTTTCATCGCAACCTCTGTGCGCTTGCTCTCCTCTGTGGGACCTAGCCTCTTGCAGTGCTCCCTTCCTTTGTATTTGACTGGCTCTCCTCCTCATTTCCCACTTCTACCACTACCACTATTACTACCTCTTCTACTACTACTACTACTACAACTACGTGTACTGATGAAATTAAGACACATGTGCGGCATCTGGTTGTCTTTGTTGTGGACTTTTCGCCATCCAGTGGCTGGCTGGATGGCGAAACGTCTACGATAGGGATGCCCGGGTGTTGCACATGTGTCTTAATTTCATCTTGTCGGTATTATATACCATTCTTGTACTACTACTACTACTACTACCACCACCTCTTCCTGCCTATATATAGCCGTCCTGCTCCACTTCTGGTTAGTGTGACTTTGTAAATGGTCCAAGTTGGACCGAAACGTCGTCGTAAGCTTCTCTGTTTTATGTGCGGGTTATTTGTGTATTTGTCAATACAACACAGGGACTTGAATGGAAGACTGTAGAAGAGGTAAACAGCCTTCTATTTAAATCCTTTTATTGTACTGATAGTCTCTGGTTGGCAAAACATGTTGCATATGTCTACTACATCAACCCGTCAATACTGCATAACACTGATGTGATGGTCTTTAATCTTATCTGTTTCTTTAGAGGCAGGTATGAAAAACATGCAAGTGGTGTCTCACAGGAATAAATAAGTGGCTCCTTTAAACAAATGTACATCCAGGAGTCTACACTTCAGTCTTTTATCCACCAATATAGGTTCTTTAACTAAGTGCTCTCAATGTACACTTCAACATACAGTGGTACCTTGACTTATGAGTTTAATTCGTTCCATTACCGAGCTCGTAACTTAATTTGCTCTTATATCAAATCAATTTTCCTCACTGAAATTAATTGAAATGCCATTAATCCATGCCAGCCCCCAAAAACAACCCCAATTTTTTTGTTACAGGTTTTTAAATAAAAATGTATTTATAAATAAGAAATATTGTATAAAAACATAATAAAAGAGAATGTAAGGAAATAAACTGGTTTTATAACGTGTTTTTACCTTGGAGATCAGACGACTTGTGCTAACGGAAGGTGCTGGTGGAGGTGGAGGGTGGAAAAGATAGGCAGTCACTTTTGTTCATCATAAACTCTATTGCTTAATCACTTAACTTACTTGCTTCACTCTTAATGCTACACTTTATTGCTGACATTAATTGCTACAATTTTTTTTTTTTACTTCACTTTCACTGGTTTTTGCCTTTTTCGCCACACTTTCCTCACTTTTATCTGTAAGGCGTTTCAATAAAAACCTCTCCAAGGAGGTTTGTTTCATCCTCCCTTTCAGAATATTTCAGAAATGAATTAGGCAATTGTCATTAAATAGCGCCGACACATGACCAACCAGTTACAACTTTTTCTGGGTGTTCCTTTCAATAAACTCTTATTGTCTCTCCCAGATTCCTACCATTTCCTTTATCTCATTTGTAGAGATAATCTCCTCTGCATTTATGCAAGTCCTTCTTGGCATCTTCTTCCAGAAGAGCCCTGTCTCGTCACAGTTGAAGACTTGCTGAGGGATGTATCCTTCAGTTGCTATCACTTCTGCAAAAGTTTTGAGGTAATCCTCAGCTTGCCTTCACATCTGAGCTCGCTGTCTCACCATGCCTGACGACAAAGTGAATGCCAGTCCTTTTAAAATTGTCAAACCAGCCCCGACTGGCTTTCAACAACTCTTCCGATGCCTCGTCCACTGAAGTGCCTGGGGTCTGCTGCAGCAAATCAGCGTAAATGCCTTGTGCTTTCTTGCAGAGGATACCCTCCATCATGGTATCTCCTGCGAGCTGCTTCTCTGTCTGACTGACTCAAGAAATCGTAATGACACGATTGCAAACAAACCATACCCCCGGCCGGGATTGAACCCGCGGTCATAGAGTCTCAAAACTCCAGCCCGTCGCGTTAGCCACTAGACCAGCTAGCCACAATTGTGGCTAGCTGGTCTAGTGGCTAACGCGACGGGCTGGAGTTTTGAGACTCTATGACCGCGGGTTCAATCCCGGCCGGGGGTATGGTTTGCTTCTCTGTCAACCACATCAACAGCAGCTTCTCCATCTTTTCATGGACAGAGGTCCACAGCTTAGAAATTATTTTAATGCCCTTGGCTGGTGTTATAGCCTTTACTGGCTCCTCCTGCTGTAGTATGGTATATATTGAAGAAGTACTAAGCTCGTATTACCTTGCCAAATCAACTACACACACACTTCGCTCATGTTTTTCTATGATTTCATGCTTTAAATCAATGGACATCATCCTCCTCTTCTTCTCAGCAGTGTCCTTTGCACTTATTTTCTTAGCACCCATGGTTAGAAAAAGAAATTTGGCAAATAACTGCACAAAAAGCACAAAATGCAAGCACAACACAAGAGAGATGCTCCCCCAGTGAGGTAACCACAGATGAATGGGAGCCGGGATGCGGGGCAGATGTTGTGGCTTCGCGGGCCCCAATAGTGGAGGTATCTAAACGTCGTAACTCGGATTTTGGCTTGCAACTCGAAGCAAAAAATGACCGGCGAGGCTCAAAAACCGGGAAAAATCAAAAGTTGGGGCACCGTAAGAAAGGTACCATGTACTTTATATACTATTGTCCCTTTTCTTTTTCCCCTAACTTCTATTCTCCTGTCTTAAAGTGAAATGACTTTTTTAAAGCCTCTTTCTAAAAAATTCAATTAGCAGCCCATCTAAAAAAACCCCAACACTACAAATTTCCCACTAACTCTTAAAAAATGTCTCCCGCCAACACTAAAGTCTACCAAAAAACTAATTTTGGGAAATTTAAATTTTTTCTAAGCTTTAAATACAGAAATACGTATGAGACACCTTTACTAAAATATATTTTATATTTATTCCTGGAAAACTTCAAAATAGGTACAGATAAACTGTATGGATAGTGTAATGTAAAATTTGTTTGCAACAAAGCTCAGCATTTTCCCAAACAAACTTACCTGCCAGAACTTCACTAAAAAACTGTTTTGTGTTTCTTCGCATTTTTTTTTTTATATTTTTTACATAAATAAGTACATGGAGCCTACAAGATTATGAAAAACACCAAACAAAAAGAAAATTGTTAAAAGATAAGATAAGAAAAATTTTCTTTGGGGTTTTTAAAAACCCCCCCCCCCGGAGGTTTTAGCCCCCCCGGGTTTACCCAAAAAGTCGTGCGTCATCGAGGCTGTTAACTTATTTCCATTGGGGTCCTTAATTTGCCCCCGGGATGCCCCCAAACCCCAGTCGAAAAACCCCCAGTATTTTGTGTAGGTGAACAGGCAAAGGTGTAAGGAAACGTGTCGAAAAGTTTCCCCCCCGGGGGAAACGAACCGGGCCCTCCGTGGTGAACGGGAGCTTTAGCCCCCCAGGCCCCCGGGCCGCACAGATCAGCACGGAAAAGCCCTTTGGAATAATTAATTCGAGTCCGAGGTTCCACTATATATCAGCCCAAACTAGGTGTAAGGATGAACTGTACATAAAAAATGGATAAAATTATAAATGTCTGAACACAACCAAAAATTGGATCACAAATTTAGAAGTATAAAATGAAAGTTAAACTGAAAAATGATTTGGGAGAAAAAATTGAAACTAGGAGATTAAAATTATCATATTTCCTTTTAATGAAAAAAAAAAATGGAATATGCAAAAGCTCAGATCATATAAAATTGGAGAATATACAAGATTTTATGTTGCCATCAAAAAAAAAAAAAGAGATAAACTGTCCCCGAAAGGAAAAAAACCAAATGGACCTGAAAGTGTTTCCAAGAGTGGGACAGATGAAATGAGATCTAAGAGATGGTAGTATTTGCTATATACTCTTTGAAAATTACAAAAAAAATGTAGGTATAAAAATAAGTTTTAAGATGAAAACCATGACGTAGTCCCCTTTCCCGTAACTACCAAAACTGATGATGGGGCACCCAAGATGCATAGCTCTATTACTGTAATCCACATGATGATGGGATACTGAGATGCTTTTCCCGTAACTACAAACATGACAATGAAACTAAAGCAAGATTTTCTGTAACTACAAATATTAATCACAAATTTTTTTTTCCTCCACACCACACAAAAACACACATAACATGTACATATAATAGGAGAAAATTAGATATTGCATGCAACCTGGGACACTTGTTACCTTTGCACGATAAGAGTCACTGGACAAGTTTGTAACGGTATTAAGTTCGTTTTCCCTTGGAAGAAAGGTTATTTCACACTAAAAAAAACAACATTGAAAAGCCTAATTTCAAAAAAAGTTATGTTTTTATTTTATTAAGTAAACTGCTAACTTTTTTGCAAAATTAGATGTTTTTTTGCTGAGATTTTGTAATGTTTTAAAATAAATCAATATCTAATGAATTAGAGTCTATTGTTTAGTCATAAGAAATTGCAGAATAATCTGAGTAGTGTACAATACAGTAAGTATATTTACAATATGAAAGATTCATACCTTTAGAGTCTCAAGTTTTTTGCAAAGATCCGATTTCTCGCCTGAAACATCTGCACATAGGTGCAGCTGGTCTCGTTGCAGATTGAGCCAGTCTCCAAAGCTCTTGCAGAGTGTGTTAAACTGAGCATGATCCTGTACACACACATCCAATTTATCTAAGAGATCCCGACTCTTCAGCACAATATTGTGAAAAAGTGTTTGAATAGACTGGATATAAACATTTAGTGTTTTGTCTTGAGTTTGATTGACTAGAGTTTGCGCCTTCTCACAAACCATTTCTACTAAACTCTGATGAGCTTGGATCTCCTGATGCACTAAGCGATGGTTTTGCAGCTGAGCAGTTTTCTCTTGCAAAGAATTCTTCAGTTCAGTATGCTGCTGCATAGCAAGCTCCACATCACGCAACCAGCGAGTAAGCTGCTCCTGTGCTCCAGAGAAGTCTGAAAACTGTTGAAGACATTGGTCCAGAGTCAGACCAGCATTAGTAACTGATTCGCACCAAGCTTCCCAACGCTCTCGTAAATCACGGAGACTTTGGCGAATGTTTTCCCTGCCATCTGGTGCTGTATGGGAATAAAGACGTTCGCCAAGTTCAAGGACGGCATCAACTTTGTTAGCCTGACTCGACTTCAGTTCAATTAACTGATCGACTTTATTACGTCTCATTTGTAAGATCTTCATGTCACCTACTATCTCAGCATGCTCTCTTAAGTCCTGGTCTACTGCTTCAACCCATTCAACGCATTCCTCATATTTTTCTAAGAATGAGCGGTGTTCACGGATAAACTGCTCATACCGACTCATCATTTCCTTCAATACATTCTTCAAAGCTTGGTAACGAGAGGACAACTGAGAAATCTGGACGGCATGTTTACCTTCACTGTCCATGCTTTGTGCTTGGGTTAGAGCTTCAGTAATTTCTGGGCCTTATCAGCAATCTCTTCTTCAAGTTGGCGAAGACGGTCCAAATGATTCTCTTTAGCAACTAAAGTACTCTTAAGAGACTGGTCTTTAACTTTAATTTCTATAGCTTTTAGCCAGTCTTTTAGGGCTTGAACTACTTCTTCACACTCATTATATTGTGACATAATACCAAATACTTTTCTTTTTCCCTCAGCAATTTCGACTGTAGCACCCGCCAGCTTCTTTGTTGAGCATCAAGATCTGCTCTAACACCCGCATGTCCTGATGCATCAGTATTTTTAAGAGTTTGTTCTAAACTTTCCTCACAGGCATCTAGAAGATCTTGGCCATCTTCTTCATTCATCTCAAGAGAGTCAAGAATGCTCATTTTCATCTGGACATCACTATTTTCTGGTGATACATCTGCACATAGTGCCAGTTCAGCCTTCTGTGAGGTTAACCAGTCTCGGAATTTTTCAGTATTATGAAGATAAGTCTCGTGCTGCTGGATGAACTCTTCACACCATCCAATTCTTTGCTGAGTTTGTGACACTAATTCTCGGTATTGGCTAATCATATCATCAACTGTTTTTGAAGTTTCATCATCAGTTAAAAACTCAATTTTCTCCTTCAGACCATAGATCATACTTTCATGTGAATTAATATCTTGATAAACAGCTTTATAGTGTTGCAGCTGAGCCTTTTTATCAGACAATGTAGGCTTCAAGTCAAAATCAGTTCCTGCTCGACGCTGAATTTCCTCAAGCCACTTTGAAGCTTGACTAAAGTTATCATCAAAAGAGGACCACTGCATAATGATACACTCAACACTCTTATACAGTTGGTTGACTTTGTCAAGATGAGCTTCCCAGGTGTCCCGAAGTGTACGAAGATCTAACCGTATTTTCTCACGACCTTCAGGAGTAATGGCTGAAAATAAAGCTTCGCCATGTTCAACCACAGCATTTAAGAGCTGTTGGCCATTTTTCTTTTCCTCAACAAATGATTTGAGGTTTTGTAATTTAGACTGGTAAGCTAAAGTAGGTTTGCCTCCACTTCGTGTCATCTGCTCAAAGCTCTGAAGCTTTTCTTCTGCATCTTTAAGCCAGTCTTCCATTTTCACAATAGTTTCACTATATAGTTTCTGGTCTCTGGTTAACTGATTAAGTTTATTAAGGAATGTATTGCAAAAGTGGATAAGGGCTTGTACTCTAGATTTTATCTGATTTGCATAATCCCCTGCTCTAGACTCAGGATTAGACTCCATGAGTTCCTCTGTTTTTTCCATGAGCTCACATACTTCATCATCATGGCTGTTAACTTCCTCTAAGAGAGCTTCGGTCTCCTTGATCTTTTCTCCCACCATAGTCATATCAATCTGGTTTGTCGTCTCTGTACGGATGCGAGCTTCAACCTCACGAAGCCACGAACTAAGGTTTTCCGTCATCAGTTCATATTGTTGCCACAGTGCTAGAGAGTGTGCTAGTGCTGCTTGACACTCTTCAAGACTGGTACTCAACTCTTCCATTTCAGAGATCACTAACTCACAGTCTTCCTGAATATTTTCACGTTCTTCAGGATTTACTATTCGCTCGTACAATTCTTGACAATTTTCAAGAGCCTGTCTTTTTGTAAGTCCTAATTTAAGGCTTGACTTAACATCTGAAAGAGCAGATATCTTTGCTTCAACACCATACCTGTCACAACCTGGTTCATCTTGGCACCAAGCAATTTTTTCTTGATGAACAGTGATAAATCTCTGTACATCTGTAAGCCGGTCATGATAGTGCTTCTCAATTACATAATAAAGACTCTTACATGCCTTTGCTGTCTGGGTTATTATGCCCTCATATTTCTTCTGAAGTGCTGTGTATTCCTTAATAAGTTTACTGGATTCAAACCCTCTGAAACTTGCTTTCAGCTCCTCGATTTGTGTTTTTACTTCTTTAATCCTCTCACTGTATTGGTGCAATTCGGTCTCAATTTTTCTGGCAATTTCAAGTCGCACAAGAATCTTCTTGTCATCTCCAGTTATATCTTCACATTTCATTAGTCTATCCCGAATCTGAGTGAGTGATTCATTAATGTCTCTGATATCTTCATATACACTTGACTCTTGTTCTTTCATTTCATCAAGGTAGGTACTAAGCTTAGAGGCAGCTGATTCAGTCTGCTCGAACTCAGATGCAATAGTACTGATAATTTCTTCAATCCTAGCTAGAGATGTTCCAGCATTTAAAGATTCAAGTTGTTTGGAACGGCTCTGAAGACTACGGAAAAGAGATTCATAATTTGAAAGTTCATTTTTATATTTTTCCAATTTTTCCACTGCAGCTTCCATTTCATGTGCCATTTGAGTTTCATCTAAGGATTCACAAGTATCGCTGAGCCAAGAAAGAATTTCATCACGTCCATTTAAGATCTGTTTCCAGAGTACAAGTTGACCTTCTAGGTTTTGTGACCGTTGATTAAGGAGATCTATCATACTTTGCCACTTATTTTGAGTTTCTTGTGAATGCTGACGAACAGTGCTGGAATCAAACCCTTTCTCACTGTCTAATTGTTGACTTAAATGTTGAGATTTTGAAATGAAATTCTCAAGCTGAGGTCTGGTCCTGCGAAGAGCATCAGTAGTCTTCTTGCAAAGATTCATCATGATTTGCACACCACTGGCTTCTGAGGGCTTACCATCTAATTTTTCAACGTTACGCTCAGCTTCTGCAATAGCAGCTTGTAAGTATTCACGCCCGTCTGTACACTGTCTCCATAGTGATGTGATGCTAGTAAATTTAGTTTGCATTTCATATAGCATATTTTGAGCACGATCCCAACTTCCATCAGCTGCTGTCAAAGCATTCTGTACAGATACCAGCTGAGTTGAGTCACTGGACATTAAGTCACGTCCCAAATCATGTAGTTTCTCTTTCAGTTTAAGCTGTGATTGCATTTCTTGAAGTGCACCTTCAATGGTTTCCAACAGATTCTGCACTCCTCCATACGTACTCTGTGTTAAATCCTTGTCAGTAACTCGTTTTGTGATACCCTCCAGGAACTCACTCAGTTGATTCTTAACCCGATGGAATGTTTCCCACTGGCTATTAACTTGCTGAAGCTGATCTTGTCGGCTATCAAGGTGACTATCAATCACATCCAGTCTCTTTCTAAATTCCTGAACTTTTGCTTCTATATCTAAGACAGACCCAGTACCTGGATCCCGAATAGTTGTAGAACTTTTCCTACAGAGATCCATGATATATGAAGCTTCATCATCCCATGAGCGGCACTGTTCTTGAAGATTCACTAACTCCTTTCTCATTTGTGATAAGTCATTAAGATTTGGTTTGGCATCAAGCTGCTGACTAATTCCTTTTAAGGCATCATCTGTATTACCTTGCCATTCCCAGAAGTCACGCCACTTCAGAATTGCTGGCTTTTTAGATATTATTACTTCACCATAGTTTTCAAAGCGGGCTTCTGCATCATCAAACTGAGTGAACAAGTCATCCCGATCTCGTCCAGTACAATGGTCGCCTACATCACGACACTCCTCTGCAAGAGATGTCACATCATTTTGTTTTTCATCGTGCTCTTGTTGCAAGCGATGAACCAAATCTGGACACCCTTCTAATTCATCTATATCAATATCTTCAAGTTCATCTAAATGGTTACTGAAGTCATTCAACCAAGTTTCAAGTTTTTCAACTTTAGCTATAAATTCTTGGCGAACTACCACAACATCTGACAATTCATTTTTCAGTTTACGCATCTCATCACTTAACTTTGAAATCATGCTCTTCAGATCTGTTACAGTGGATTTAATTGAAGCACTTCCTTCTGCACCCATGCCAGCAGATATATGATCACCAACAGCAGTGAGATTTAGAAGATCTGTTTGTTTCTCACCAACTTCTTTTACCATATCTTTCAAGCTTGCAACACGATCCTCTAGGCGAAGAACAGTTGGTGCATACTCACTGACCTTCTCTAGGCGTTCTTCCATTTGATGCACCCATGAAGACACAGCATCGCATTTGTAGTTAAAATCTTCCCATTCAGCAAGAAGAAATTCTGACCTTTCACTCCATTGTATGGCAACATCATGTACCGAAGTCCAACGAGAGTGGAGGGCATCAATTTCATCAACTACTGAACACATACGTGCTACTTGGGCACTCTTAGATGATACTGAGCGCAGTTTCTCCAAGCAATCATCACAATTCTTTTCAAATTCCTTAGCTGATTCAGAGGCTTGAATAGCATCCTGCATGGAATTTGGTTTGTTCATTCCTAAAGCAACTTTGGTTTCAGCTTCCTCTAACCACGGTTTTATTTCTTGAATGCCTTGCTGATACTCATTCCAGTGTTTTAAGTCATTTCGAACAGTTTCATAATGTTTTTCTGTATGTTTACTTAGAGTATTTATGTTCATTTTTAACTCACTAAGTTCAGCACTGAACTGCAAGGCATCATTTGAAGGCTCTCCTTCTAAGAGTTCCTCTGCCTCCTCTTCAAGGGTTTTAACTATAGCTAGTCTTTCATCGATCTTCCCTTTGAGCTCTTTTGTTTGAGCATCTCGATCTTCTGGGGACATTTCAAGTGTAACAAGTCGCTCTAATACATTCTGAGCATTAATTAGCCATGACTTCAACTCTTGTAAGGTACCAGTAAAATGAACCCATTTAACATTTAATTGCTCCAAGAGTTCAATCTTTTCAGAAACAGTGTCTATAACTGTCTGCATGCGCTGCTCAATTTCAACAACTTCTTTCTCAAGTAATGGCTTTTTCTCTGGATTAGCAAGTTTTGCAAGATTACTTGAATGGCTGTGCAATTTACGAAGCATCTGATCAGTTGTTTCATTAAGATGTTCGTTCATTTCTTGTTTATTACTCAATTCATTTGCAACTTGTTGAGGATTGTTATGGGAAATAATATTTGAGAGCTCTGATTCAGCCTGAGCAATTAGTTTTAAAATTTCATTCTTCTGGTCAGTGTAATCAGACCAAACTTTCTGTGTATTTTTAAGTTTATTTAATTTATCAACAGAACCATTGTAGGCTTCATTCCACTTGCCCTCTAGTGTCTGCAGCATGGCATTGACAAAGATTGGTGCATTCTGGTCCCTTGAAAGGTCTTTGCCTCTCTGAATTGTGGAAAAAATATTGTCCCTTTGGTTTTCCAGCTGTTGTACTATTTTTTCTTGTTCTTGAATCAAATGAGTGATTGCCTCAAGGTTTTCTGGTTGAGTGTCCTTCTCACTCTGTTTTCTAACATTTTCTAGTATTGCAACAACATTGTCAATATCTTCACGATAATGGTAACATTTAGTGTAGGTTTCTGCACGAATGAGGGCTGATTCAATGGTGGGAACAAGAGCCTTATAGCGAGCAATGAGAGACTCTAATTTCTGTTGTTCATACTGGCCATCCTCCTCAGGGATATGTGTTATTAAAGAATCTAGCATCTGAACCAGACACTTCATTGATTCTCGACGAGACTCCATGTCACCGCACATAGCCTAGAAAGACATAAAAATGTACTACAGTACAGCAGTTGTAAACCCCACACATATACTCAAGCATATGTTGAGAGTCCATGACTTATTTTGGGGTAAATCTATGGAACTAACCTATTCATGGGTAATATTTCTTAGGGGCTATCTATAAATGTTATATCACAGCCTCAATTCAACTACTTTATACAATGCAGGTCACTGAGCAAATGTAATTTCAGTGATTTGTTTCTAACTGACCATTTGTAACCTGTCTCATTCTATTTGTGATGATAAAGAATTACTTAAGCTATACTGACTTGAATTTTACACTAGGTCTATATACAGTGGACCCCCGTTTAACGATCACCTCCAAATGCCACCAATTATGTAAGTGTATTTATGTAAGTGCATTTGTACGTGTATGTTTGGGGGTCTGAAATGGACTGGAGACCTGGAGAGAGTTCCGGGGGTCAATGCCCCCGTGGCCCGGTCTGAGACCAGGCCTCCTGGTGGATCAGAGCCTGATCAACCAGGCTGTTGCTGCTGGCTGCACGCAAACCAACATACGAGCCACAGCCCGGCTGATCCGGAACTGACTTTAGGTGCTTGTCCAGTGCCAGCTTGAAGACTGCCAGGGGTCTGTTGGTAATCCCCCTTATGTGTGCTGGGAGGCAGTTGAACAGTCTCGGGCCCCTGACACTTATTGTATGGTCTCTTAACGTGCTAGTGACACCCCTGCTTTTCATTGGGGGGATGGTGCATCGTCTGCCAAGTCTTTTGCTTTCGTAGTGGGGTGATTTTCGTGTGCAAGTTCGGTACTAGTCCCTCTAGGATTTTCCAGGTTTTATATAATCATGTATCTCCCCTCCTGCGTTCCAGGGAATACAGGTTTAGGAACCTCAAGCGCTCCCAATAATTGAGGTGTTTTATCTCCGTTATGCGCGCCGTGAAAGTTCTCTGTACATTTTCTAGGGCGGCAATTTCACCTGCCTTGAAAGGTGCTGTTAGTGTGCAGCAATATTCCAGCCTAGATAGAACAAGTGACCTGAAGAGTGTCATCATGGGCTTGGCCTCCCTAGTTTTGAAGGTTCTCATTATCCATCCTGTCATTTTTCTAGCAGATGCGATTGATACAATGTTATGGTCCTTGAAGGTGAGATCCTCCGACATGATCACTCCCAGGTCTTTGACGTTGGTGTTTCGCTCTATTTTGTGGCCAGAATTTGTTTTGTACTCTGATGAAGATTTAATTTCCTCATGTTTACCATATCTGAGTAATTGAAATTTCTCATCGTTGAACTTCATATTGTTTTCTGCAGCCCACTGAAAGATTTGGTTGATGTCTGCCTGGAGCTTTGCAGTGTCTGCAATGGAAGACACTGTCATGCAGATTCGGGTGTCATCTGCAAAGGAAGACACGGTGCTGTGGCTGACATCCTTGTCTATGTCGGATATAAGGATGAGGAACAAGATGGGAGCGAGTACTGTGCCTTGTGGAACAGAGCTTTTCACCGTAGCTGCCTCGGACTTTACTCTGTTGACGACTACTCTGTGTTCTGTTAGTGAGGAAATTATAGATCCATCGACCGACTTTTCCTGTTATTCCTTTAGCACGCATTTTGTGCGCTATTACGCCATGGTCACACTTGTCGAAGGCTTTTGCAAAGTCTGTATATATTACATCTGCATTCTTTTTGTCTTCTATTGCATTTAGGACCTTGTCGTAGTGGTCCAATAGTTGAGACAGACAGGAGCGACCTGTTCTAAACCCATGTTGCCCTGGGTTGTGTAACTGATGGGTTTCTAGATGCGTGGTGATCTTGCTTCTTAGGACCCTTTCAAAGATTTTTATGATATGGGATGTTAGTGCTATTGGTCTGTAGTTCTTTGCTGTTGCTTTACCGCTCTGTTATTCTTTTCCGTCGCCTGTAAAGGGAGCGCCTGTCTCTATTTTACATCTACTCCTCCTTTTTCTTAGAGGAATAAGCCTTGTGCATACATCGAGTGCTACCGAGTTAATCTGTTCTAGGCATAAGTTGGGGTCTGTGTTGCTTAGTATATCTTCCCAGCTTATATCGGTTAGGACTTGGTTTACTTGGTCCCACTTTATGTTTTTGTTATTGAAGTTGAATTTGGTGAATGCTCCCTCGTGACTAATCTCATTATGTCGGTCTGGGGCTCCGCGCATACATGACTGAACCTCAATTATGTTGTGATCTGAGTATATTGTTTTTGATATGGTGATATTTCTTATCAGATCATCATTGTTAGTGAAGATGAGGTCTAGTGTATTCTCCAGTCTAGTAGGCTCTATTATTTGCTGGTTTAAATTGAATTTTGTGCAGAGATTTAAAAGCTCGCGTGAGTGTGAGTTTTCATCAGAGCTGCCTCCTGGTGTTATTACTGCAACAATATTATTTGCTATATTCCTCCATTTTAGGTGCCTTAAGTTGAAATCCCCCAGGAGCAAGATGTTGGGTGCAGGAGCTGGAAGGTTTTCCAGACAGTGGTCAATTTTTAACAGCTGTTCCTGGAATTGCTGGGATGTTGCATCCGGAGGCTTGTAGACTATCACAATGACTAGGTTTTGGTTCTCGACCTTTACTGCTAAAACTTCCACTACATCATTTGAGGCATTTAGCAGTTCTGTGCAAACAAGTGACTCTGCAATGTACAGGCCAACCCCCCCCTTTTGCCTGTTCACTCTGTCACATCTGTATAGGTTGTAACCTGGGATCTACTTCACAATATTCCTTATGGGAACAAATTCGGTTAGTACTGGTACCTGAACATACTTCTGGAATGAAAAAAGATCGTTAATCGGGGGTCCACTGTACATGGGTAATATGTAAACCATATGATTAGTTTACTCAAAGTGCATCTGCATAATTAGTGAGCTTCTGAGCCTAATATTGTATCAAATTAAATCTGTATTTTAAGTTAATAAGATCAAATTCAATATAATAAATCTGAATGTACAACTAATTTAATTAATTTGTATTCTGATAGGAAATAAAAAATTTTGATTTAATTTAAATTTTTAATTGTACAAGACTACAGTATCACTGCTGTAGACCTATAGGCCATGCTAGGGAGGTCCTGCTCAACATCCCACATTCCACTTGTCTACATCTATTACCAAACAACTGTTTTAAATCCAATATAATTGCAAATATATTAAGTGAAGGGCACCTCAGGAACCCAATTGGCACATGTAATTATTTATTTAATCTCCATTATTCAACTGATTATTTTTAGGTTTGTTTAATCTTAAGTCTGCCCCAAGTGTTTTGCATAACTATGGATTTTATCACATATGTAACATTAAATCATGCATATATGTAACATTATGGTAAATAAATTTGTTCACTGTTAATGGTTTTATTACTGATGTAGTGCTATCTGCCAAGAAGAACTGAAAAAAAATTATATAATGCAACCATGCCTAAAAAAATCCATAGTTCAATATCACTTATAACATTTTGCATGTAAAAATACTCGAAAGAAACATGTACATGCAGTTGACAACATCAATTTATCTTTTTGCATTATACAAAAATTAATATATTTGTTTAATTAACCTTCCTTATCTTACCACAAATTTGTCCTTCAATTTTTCATAATCTTCAGCTCTGGATGTTTCTCGGTTTACTTCCTTTAGACAATCATTGACACCATCCATCCACAACACTGTTTCTTCAACTCTGTTAAGTAATTATATACACTATAAATTTGTTATGTAGAAATGCTTCTAAAACCTACCCTCTCACAACAAAAATATTTGCTTACTTGTGATATATACAATTTTCTATGCCCCACTCTGATATTAAGAAAGTATATTTATGTTTTTCTTCACTGAAATGTGTTTCTGAATACACAAGTTAATACAAATCGTTGATAATAAAAACGGAAATTTACTAAACAAAACAGTGACAACAAACTTCAAAGAATTAATTACTGATGTTTCTTACTTGGTCTCATATTCCCTCCAGCGTTCAGGGATCTGGTCTAGCTGCGAGGCCATAGTACCAATACGAGTCTGCAACTCCAACCACTGTGCTGTACATCGCTGACAGTCATCTATAAGTCCTTCATCATTTTTCTGGAGATTATAAGCCCTCTCAGTCAAGGCAATGTTAACTCTCAGTTTAGGGAGACATAAACTCTCAGTCAAGGCAGTAAAAAAATCTTATTCAAGGCAATGTAAACTTTATGTTTAGGCAAAGTTGTTCAAACCTTTCAGTCAATGTAGGTAGGTATAACCTCTCAAGGTAGATATAAATAAATAGTAAAGGATATTGGCTGTTTGAAGTGACATCTAAACTGTCGTATCTGAACACCTTTGCAAAGACAGTGATTATGTGTGAATGATGGTGAAAGTGTTTCTTTTTGGGTCCCCCTGTCTTGGTGGGAGACGGCCGACGTTTAAAAAAATGTATGACTAATTCAATCATGACTGGCACGAACACTCTCAGTGAAGATAGATATAACTTATCAATGTCACGATAAACTCTCAGTGAGAGTAGTTCAAATTCTCAGCCAAGACAGTGCTAACTCTCAGTCAAGGCATGTATAAAGTATTCTCAAGACAGGTAGTAAAGTTCTAGAAGTAGGTTAGCTTGCTCAAAATGCTCTACATAACTATGGGACTTTCCATGTGACTGATGTGATGGCATCTAACTTTGTACAAATGATGTATACAATTATACAACTTTATTTCAACATGATACATTATTTATACAGAAATGGGTGACACTTTAGAGCATGTTGATAACCCAGAGCTATGCAGAGTATTTTGGGTAAGTTTAAGCCTAACTTAAGACTACAATGGCAATAATTATTATTTGTTTACATATAAAGACATTTCTTTCAAGCTGAATTATAATTATCATGTGGAAACAAATACTGACTGATTGATCAAAGTAGATATATCTACAATTATCATATCTCTTACTGCTTCATAAATACATATTTATTTACCTGTCTACTGCTTATCAGACTGCAATGAAATTTTTTATTATATTCATTGGCAGGTGCTAAACCTATAAGTCATACAGCACCTGAGATACGGGAGGCAATAAGGCTTGATACGAGGAAGGGAGGAGTAGCTCTAATTCCTTGAATCAAGAGCCCTCACCACTACAATGAAGAAATCCATCTGTCTTGACACAACAGTTCATGGTTTACCAATGAGAGTGTCTGCATGTGAAAGACAATATTTACCTTTTTGCCATACTCATGGCTCGATACATCCATATTGTCTAAAATTTCTTCTATGCGTGACACCAACTCTTCAGCAAAGAACTCCTGAAAAAATTTATTCAAGCTGTGAAGTATGTAGACATACTTGCTGAAATAGCTAATGCCGATATTTTTATGTATTACGTATATCATATTTAACTATAAAAAATAAAATGACGACACCTAAAAACAATTAAATGTTTTCTTATAATAATTTCATGACATAATGAATAATTTGATTATCTATAGTTAATTGGTGATATGTTAATTGCAAATATTAACACTTAACAGTTCATTTAACCACAACACATCAAGTCATATATAAATAGTATAATACTGTCCCTCAATAAAAGTCTTGCATTAATATAATATACAGTACAGTAGCTTAAACTATGTAATATTTACATAACCGCAGAAATATTTACCTCATGCTTTCGTCTAATGGCTTCAACATTCTCATTTTTATTGTATGCATTTTGTTCACCTGCTAATTCCTTCTCAATATCACGTACATACATTTGGAAAGTATTTTCGTCAAGGCGAAACTCCAACTGAAATGGGTGAATGCACAATAATATCATGTAAGGTGTTTAAAGATATTTAAGTTACCCATTAATCATCTCATTAGCTAGAAGTGGCAATACTACAAGTTGAAAATCTTTGTTTTCTACAGTTAAAATAATGCTTAAATCCAGTATATAAGTGACTATAAATTTCTATATCTAATAATTTTTTTGAATTTGAAACACTGCCCTGTTAAAAATCAAATACCTGCAACATACATGTAACTGATTCCGAGAGTTCTATTCTGGCAGCTATGCTTGAGTCTAGACTTCTCTACTGACTGTCTGTCAACCAGACTACTGTTTCTCAACTCACAGTTTTATATACAGCAATAACAACCAGTTGATCAGGAACATTTTGCACAGACATGTGCAACAGCTTGGTTCCTTTACTTAATATGCAAAATATGCACTCTTATCATTACAGAAGTAGGAAAGATGTAGATATGAAGTGTTCAGTCCCTCAGTCTTGAAGAGGTTGTTTGAGGTGGTTGATAACAAAGTTATGAAGCATAACACACACGAAGCTTAGGAACTGATCACCTCATGTCTACATATGTCTATTCTGTCTATCATGTCTACATGTCTACTTCTGTTGTTTCCTCTGTACTTTGACTGAGGAGGCCTGCAGAGCAGGTGAAATATCTCACCAAATGAAGATAGTGAACTGTTGCACATGTGTCTTACTCATCTAACTGCAGAATTATGATGAAGGTGTACACACAATTGTGAATCTGAAACATATGTAAAGACAGCAGTGTAAACAAGGAAATAGTTACCTTGAGCAGATGTAGTGGAGCGTGACACATTACATCATCCCATCGGTTCTGTATACTTTTGATAGCTACATTAATGGCATCCTGCTCAGACTCAGCTATGTACTTCTGCAAGTCTTGTCCTGTGGCAATTACCTTGAGGAGCAGGTGCTCAGGAGCATTGATGAAAAAGTCCTATATATATAAGAGAGACTTCCAATGAATATCAATATAATATACACATACTACACACAAATAATTCAACAAAATATATTTATTACTTTTGTTTTATTTTTATATAATATGTAAAGTAAGCAACTTGCTGATTCTGGCCGAATATGGCAAATGCTGTAGCCACCCCTCATAATCTCAACAATCAACCCACATAAACAAATGATTCACACTTGTCTACCACTCAGCAGTCAATAGCAGGAGAACAAGGAATTTAAGGTAAGATAAAGTTCATCCTTGTCACTATTATAAATGAGACAATTATATAATGAAATGTATGAGAAGTGTTAGCTAATAATGTAGATAACCTACAGACACCTACTGTACAAATGAGCTACATAATCATCTCCAAACACTTCTATATCTACAAGCATGTTTTATACAGATAAGATTGTGCATTAAATTTACAGTATTATATATACCATAGACAGACACCATATTTAAGATACATATACTGTAAGCATGTAATACTGTATAGGGTACCAGTACACAGGAGCAAATCTTTGGAAGATCTAATGTGCAAAATACTGTAGTAAATTACAATGTCCCTCCTCATGCTGGCTAACCTTGTGAGTTTCCAGGTAGCTCTTAGTTGTGATGGCTTTCTCTTGGAATAATTTCTCTGCACTGGTTATCCATTCCGTGACTTCCGCTTCACACTCTTTGAAGCTCTGCCAACATCGAATGCTCTCACTCATTCGAGTTTCCCACGTTACAGATGCAGAAGTCACTCTGGAGAACCTACATGAAAAATAAAACACTTCATATGCAATTGTACAAAGATTAAAAAAAAAAAAGAGTAATATGTAGAAAATTTTAAAAAGAGAAATTTTTTTTTTCAACACATGGGCCATCTCCCACTGAGGCAGGGTGACCCAAAAAAAGAAAGAAACACTTTCACCATCATTCATATATAATCACTGTCATTGCAGAGGCACTCGGGTATGACAGTTTAGATGTCACTCCAAACAGCCAATATCCAAAGAGTAATGTGCCCAAAATTTTAAAGAGAGGGTAATATTTCTGTAGGATGAGCAAGGATTTAGGAAAGGTATGGGATGTGTAGACTAAGTGTTTACACTGAAGCATATAAGTGGCCCGGTGGCTAAAGCTCCCGTTTCACACACAAAGGGCCCGGGTTCAATTACCGGCAGGTGGAAACATTTCGACGCGTTTCCTCACACCTGTTGTCCTGTTCACCTAGCAGCAAATAGGTACCTGGGTGTTAGTTGACTGGTGTGGGTCGCATCCTGGGGACAAGATTGAGCACCCCAATGGAAATAAGTTAGACAGTCCTTGATGATGCACTGATTTTCTTGGGTTATCCTGGGTGGCTAACCCTCCGGGATTAAAAATCCGAACGAAATCTTATCTCATCTCTTATCTTAATAGCTAGATAAAAATAAGTAACTTTTTGTCACATTTATAAATTTAGAAAAGGAATATGATAGGGGGATAGGGGAGCAATGTATACAAGTTTTATAACTAGTTTGCCTAAAGTGCTTTGCATCATAAGTGGCTTTCCTGAGCATTCATTTGTATCAAACTGTATTTGTATCATAACTGTATCAAACCTGTAACCAATTAAACTGCAAACCAAATCTTTGTAACTTTTGCATACTAGTATGTCAAGATCCTAATTGCTATGACCTACTAGTACATCATGGATTCTGTTAGCTATGACATGCTAGTACATCATGAACTCTGATCACTATGATGTTTTAGTACAGCATGGATTTTGATCACTTTAATGTATTAGTACATCATGGACTTTGATCGCTACGATGTACTGGTACATCATGGACTCTGATTGCTACAATGTATACTAGTACATCATGGACTCTGATTGCTACAATGTACTAGTGGTACATCATGGATTCTGATTGCTACAATGTACTAGTGGTACATCATGGATTCTGATTGCTACAATGTACTAGTGGTACATCATGGACTCTGATTGCTACAATGTACTAGTGGTACATCATGGACTCTGATTGCTACAATGTACTAGTGGTACATCATGGATTCTGATTGCTACAATGTACTAGTGGTACATCATGGACTCTGATCACTATGACGTACTGGTATATCATGGACAACACAGGATTTAAAAAACTTACCTATCATTAAGATTATTTATCTTTTCTTGCAGATCCTGAACATTGAGATTTTCACCTCCATTTGTTGTCCGAAGAAGGTTTTGATATACTCGATTTTTAGTGTCAAGCATTGATTTGTAGTACAGTTGACGGGAGAAGAAGGCCTGTTAAGTAAATAGCAAATAATTTACAGTATATACTAATAAATGTTACAGATTATTTGCAATACTGCTTTTTATGTGGCAGTTATACACTTAAGTACTGTTACTGGAAGAGAACTCTCAAAGATTAAAATAATTAATGTCAATAACTGTACCTTCTACCAATTTTGCATTAAGGAGTAAAAGTAATCACATCCAAAGGAACCTCAAATATAAAACGATAAAATAATCCACAAAAATTAAGTTTTATATATGTTAATACACAGGTAAACCCTATATGGATTAAAACAAAAAAAAACATGGTGTAGAAAGTATCTGAATATTGCTGCCTCAAAAGGAGACCCTCTTCAGATGAGGTTCTTTTATGCTGAAATAATTTACACAGATCCTTTCTGACTCTTAAAGTTTGTGTCCCTATAGGATTTACTTGTTCACTGATCAGTGTTTATGATGCATATATGATAAACTATGTTAATAAGTCTATTTCAAAATTATTGCTATACAAGCATAATAAGAACAAAGAAATACAGTTCACCAACATAATTAAAAAAACTCACCAAATTATGCACAAGTGTAGGATACTTTTTGGGACTTACAAGTGGATATCAAAACCTACCCTATGTTTCTCTAGTTGATTTCTTGCTGTCTCATTGACGGCGATGAAGGAAAATTGTGACTCAGGCTCTTCACTCTACACGAAGCAACAGAGAGAGCTATTATTTCATGTTCACACCTTATCAAACTTCTTATCTACCTAAAAACCTTCCGGATTTCATTGACACGGGTAGGAACAAGGAATCAAGAGCAAAAATGTTGAAAATAGGAATCTAAAAATTAAAAACACAAAAAATGTTAATGTAACATATGAAATAAATAAAAATTAAACACTTATTTTAAAAAAATGCAGTTTACACATTACAAATGATACATCATTCTTTTGTACAGGACAAATGCTGACTCAAAATTCAAACACATTTAAAAGCATTAAACACCAGTAAACATATGGTTTTGGATATCAAATGGGATAAAAAACTAAATAAACATCATTATATGATGATACTTTAGGACTGGGGACATTCAGAAGCATTATCCATAGATTACCTCAGTTTCATAATACTGCATAAATTTTTCAGGTTACCTTTCTGCAAATTACATAGGAATACAGTATTACATAACTTGAGGTGCTCCTGGAGCTTCTTGGGAATTTTATTGTGTATAATAAAGTATGATTTTTTTTCATAACACAAGGCTTTGAAATGTAACCAGGAAAAAAACTAGGGCCCAAAACTTCCATCAAGCATATCTCCAAGCACTGTGAAAATTACTTTATGTCTGGTAAGCTGGTCCTGCATATATTCGTTAGTTCCATGAAGTGTAAAGGAGTCTAAAAGACTCTCCGCTTCATCCAGCCAACGGTTGATTTCAATAATTCCACTGTCCACTGCCTCCAACTGTGTGATAATCTGTAAACACAGTGATGATGTCAGTTATGTACATACTATGAATCCTTAAAACATGTTAAGAGATGTTAAGCTACCATAAATTAGTAATATATGGGAGAAAGATAATATTCCTCGACTCTTTGATATATGACAGAGATATAAACTACTAACAATGATTAATATAGGTATGAGATAAAAGCTAGTATGATTCATTAATAAAGAATTAAAAGCCACAATACCATGGCTGGAACAATACACAAATAACCCAAGCTTAGGAGAAGGAAAATAATGACAATATTTTAGTTCAACTAGAGCCACTGACAAGTCAATGGTCCAAGCTGGACTAAAACATCATCATTACTTTCTTTCTCCTAAGTGTTAGTTATCTGTGTATTCATTAATAAATTATATAGAAGAAATATATGCTACCATGAATAAAAAATTATTAAAGCTATAAGTTTCCATAAATCAATAAAATATAACTTTGTCCACATGAATCTATCACATACAAATTAAATATACACTCAGTGGCCACTTTATTTGGTACACCCTTCTAGTGCTGGCAAGAGCTTCTCTTTTCCCCAAGAACAGCCTGAATTCTTCATTGCATGGATAAACAAGGTGCTGGAAATATTCCATAAAGATTCTGGTCCATGATGACATGTTATCATCAAGCAACTGTTGCAGATTTATCAGCTGCACATTCATGCTGTGAATCCCCAGTTCCACTATATCCCAAAGGTGCTCTACTGGACTGAGATATGGTGAATATGGAGGCCACTGGAGTACAATGAACTCATTACGTTTATGGAACCAGCTTAAGATGACATGTCTTTGTGACATAGCACATTATTCTGCTAACTACAACCGAACGCACATGTATAACACAAGGCACAATACACTCTTTGACATTCCTTGTGTCCATCTCACCCTGTGCAAAAATGCTATGCACATAAAGGGCCCAAAGATCTGGAATTCACTGCCCAAACATGCAAAAGGTCCCTTGCCTGCAAATCAATTTAGGGCTCTACTTAAAAATCATCTCATCTCGCAAAATTAACCATACAAACACTGCTTAATCATCTAACCAGTTTGAAGCAACTTAAAAAATCCCCAAAAATTTATGACTACTTAATTAATTAAATATTAATTCAAACTTAAAACTGTTTCTATTTTATTATTGCAATTTTGCTAAATTGTAATATGTGCTGTTATTTTTATATGCTTCAGCTCAACTATAAATTTTATTACTCTGAAGCATTAGCTACACTACTGTAATAGTGGTGGGTGGAGTAGTAATGGTGGTGGGTGGAGTGGTGGTGGGTGAGAGTATTGGTGGTGGGTGATATGGGGTGTAGATGGGTGGTGGATGGAGTAGTGATAATGGTGGGTGGAGTACTGATAGTGGTGTGTAGGGTAGTCATGGTGGTCAGTGGAGTAGCGATGGTGGTGGGTGTGTAGTAGTAATAGTGGTGGGTGGAGTAGTGATAGTGGTGGGTGGAGTTACTGATAGTGGTGGGTGGAGTAGTGAGAATGTGGGTGGAGTAGTGATAGTGGTGGGTGGAGTTGTCATGATGGTGGGTGGAGAAGTGATGATGGTGGAGTGGTGATGGTGGTGGATGGAGTGATGGTGGTGGATGGAGTAATGATAATGGTGGTGAATGGAGTAGTGATAATGGTGGTGGATGGAGTAGTGATAATGGTGGGTGGAGTAGATATGGTGGTGGGTGTAGTAGCGAGGGTGGTGGGTGTAGTAGAGATGGTGGAGGGTGTAGTGAAGGTGGTGGGTGGAGTACTGAAGATGGTGGGTGGAGTACTGATAGTGATGGGTGGAGTAGTGAGGGTGGCAGGTGTAATAAGAGATGGTGGTGGGTAAAGTAGTGAAGGTGGTGGGTGGAGTATACAATATTTCTTATTTATAAATACATTTTTCTTATTTAAAAACCCATAACCAAAAAATTGGGGTGATTTTTTGGGGGCCAGAACGGATTAATGGCATTTCAATTAATTTCACTGAGAAAAACTAATTTGATATATGAGAAAATTGAGTTATGAACTAGGTGACGGAACAAATTAAACTGGTAAGTCAAGGTAACGCTTTATAATGTATTCACACATTGCAACCTCTGCAAAGAAATAAACTGTTTTTGTTTGTTTGTTTTGGTGGAAGTAGCCATCAGAAGATGGGTAGACTGTAGCCATAAAGAACATAAGAACATAAGAAAGGAGGAACACTGCAGCAGGCCTGCTGGCCCATACTAGGCAGGTCCTTTACAATCCCTCCCACTAACAAAACATCTGCCCAACTAATTTTCAATGCCACCCAAGAAATAAGCTCTGTTAACTCCATCCACTCATATGCAAGTCCCACTCAAATCCAACCCCTCTCACTCATACATTTATCCAACCTAAATTTGAAACTACCCAAGGTTTTAGCCTCAATAACCCAACTAGGTAGACTGTTCCACTCATCAACTACCCTATTTCCAAACCAATACTTTCCTATATCCTTTCTAAATCTAAACTTGTCTAATTTGAATCCATTACTGCAGGTTCTCTCTTGGAGAGATATCCTCAAGACCTTATCTATATCACCTTTATTAATACCCATCTTCCACTTATACACGTCGATCATGTTTCCCCTCATTAAAGGGATGAACATTGTCAACAACAATACACAGATACACTGTAGCATTTAAACGATGATCAAATGTATAATGGGGTCTGTGCGCCAGGAAACATTCCCCACACTGTTATACCAACACCACCACCAGCCTGAACCACAGGCACAGGGCAGGATGGATCCTACCTCCTGCATGTCACAGGAGAAATCACGATTTTTCAGACCAGGCAATGTTTTTCCAATCTTCCACTGTTCAGTTTTGTTGAGCCTGTGCCCACTGTAGCCTCAGTTTGCAGTTCTTAGCTGACAGGAGGGAAACCCAGTGTGGTCTTCTGCTGTAACCCATCCTCTTCAGAGTTCAATGTGTTGTGCATTCAGAGATGCTCTTCTGCATACCACTGTTGTAACACAAGTTTATTTGAGTTACTGTTGCCTTCCTGTCAGCTTCAACCAGTCTGACCATTTCCTCTGACTTCTAATATAAGGTTTTTACTCTGTAAACTCTAGAGCCTGTTGTGGATGACAATCTCAGATCAGCAGTTTTTGAGATACTCAAACCACCCTGTCTAGCACCAACAATCATTCCACAGTCAAAGTCACTTAGATCACATTTCATCCCCATTCCGATGTTTGGTCTCAACAACAACTGAACCTTTTGACCATGCCGACATGCTTTTAGGGGTGCTGCCACATGATTATAAACAATAAATAAACAATAAGTAACTTTATTTCTGTGTGTATTATACGAAGTGTATTTTACATGTAATAAAATATTGTTAAGGACAAAGAAAGCCACTAGCATGCATGTGCATTTTGGGCAGACTAATCCTAATGCTTACAAACTATTTTAGATTAGATTACATATTTGCATTAGCAAGCAGGTGTTCAGTTGTACATAATAAAGTGGCCACTGAGTGTATATAATTAAGTTAATATTCCAAGTATCACTTGATACAGATCACACTGATACAATGTGACCTAAGGTATCAATCTGTTTTGTATTAATTATAAGTTGATATTTATTAGCACTAAGGCACATACAAATTAATATAATTTTAACCACCTTTACATGGCAGAAGTGTCACTCAGTTAACAATACAGTATTGAAAATAAAACATGAATTTTTCAGTATAATTGATCTGTTTTTTGTAAACAAAAAAGGTATCACAAGTATATTATAAAAACATTAGTGAGACTTGCATTAACAAATATACACAACAGAATAACATAAATATGTATTAAGAGAGAGAGAGTGAAAAACCATACTGTACTGGGATATTATCCAACTGGTAATGTCTCAAGCACGACGTTATAATTGATAAAGTACATACATACTAACAACGCAATAATCTGTGGTGTTAGTATGTCAAAAGAAATTAAACAGCAGCATGAGGAAAGCTAAGAAACATGTTGCAAGTTCATATTTAACTGGGGTAATCTAGCAAAACTACAAACAACATTTTAACAAACTGATATATGTATCCTTCAATGTTTATTAGACCACTTACTTGTGTTGTAAGATACATCTTTTGAGGAATGATTGCTCGGTATCTAACTAGCTCTTCCTTCTCTTGTTTGAGAGACCACATCATTCTCTCAATCTCATCAGGTGATAAATCTTGAACAAGAGTCTGGAAGGCCTTAGAAATGTTCTTGAAGAGCTGCTCCATATCTTCAATTTCAGTGTTCAATTTCTACAAGTAAAACAATCAATAAAAATAGTTTAGAGCAAAAAAAAAGCTATTAAAATACCATATGAATTATAATAAATAAAAAATCACACTTTTCTGCAAAGTCAAATTATCTGTACCATTTCAAGCAAGTACTATATTATGCAAACAATTATTTAAAAATAGGAACACAAATTAAGTACATATAATACTAATTTTTTATTATTTTTTTATTAACACATTGGCCATCTCCTACCAAGGCAGGGTGGCCCGAAAAAAAAAACTTTCATCATCATTCATTCCATCACTGTCTTGCCAGAGGTGTGCTTACACTACAGTTATAAAACTGCAACATTACCACTCATCCTTCAGAGTGCAGGCACTGTACTTCCCATCTCCAGGACTCAAGTGCAGCCTGCTAGTTTCCCCTGAATCCCTTCATAAATGTTACCTTGCTCACACTCCAACAGCACGTCAAGTCCTAAAAACCATTTGTTTCCATTCACTCCTATCTAACACGCTCATGCATTCTTGCTGGAAATCAAAGGTCCTAACACACAAAATCTCCTTTACCCCCTCCCTCCAACCTTTCCTAGGCTGACCCCTACCTCGCCTTCCCTCCATTACAGATTTATACACTCTTGAAGTCATTCTATTTTGTTCCATCCTCTCTACATGTCCAAACAACCTTTCCTCAGCTCTCTGGATAATAGTTTTGGTAATCCTGCACCTTCTCCTAATTTCCATACTATGAAATCTCTGCATTATATTCACATCACACACTGCCCTCAGACATGACATCTCCTTTGCCTCCAGCTTTCTCCTTGTTGCAACATTCACCACCCATGTTTCACACCTATATAAAAGCATTGGTATAACTACACTCTCATACATTCCCCACTTTGCTTCCATGGACAAAGTTCTTTGTCTCCACAGATTCATAAGTGCACCACTCACCTTTTTCCCCCCATCAATTCTACAATTCACCTCATCTTTCATAGACCCAGGTGCTAATACATCCACTCCCAAATATATGAATACATTCACCTCCTCCATACTCTCTCCCTCCAATCTGATATCCAATCTTTTGTCACCTAATTTTTCTGTTAGTCTTATCACCTTACTCTTTCCTATATTCACTTTTAATTTTCTTCTTTTACATACCCTACCAAACTCATCCACCAATCTCTGCAATTTCTCTTCAGAATCTCCCACAAGCACAGTGTCATCAGCAAAGAGCAACTGTGACAACTCCCACTTTGTGTTAGATATTTTATATTTTAACCCCACACCTCTTGCCAACACCCAAACATTCACTTCTCTTACAACCCCATCCATAAATATATTGAACAACCATGGTTACATCACACATCCCTGTCTAAGGCCTACTTTTACTGGGAAATAATCTCCCTCTCTCCTACATACTCTAACCTGAGCCTCACTATCCTCGTAAAAACTCTTCACTGCTTTCGGTAACCTACCTCCTATTCCATGTATTTCCAACATCTGCCACATTGCCCCCCTATCCACCCTGTCATATGCCTTTTCCAAATCCATAAATGCCACAAAAACCTCTTTACCCTTATCTAAATACTGTTCACCTATATGTTTCACTGTAAACACTTGGTCTGCACACCCCCTACCTTTCCTAAAGCCTCCTTGTTCATCTGCTATCCTACTCTCCATCTTACTCTCAATTCTTACAATAATAACTCTACCATACACTTTACCAGGTATACTCAACAGACTTTTTTTTTTTTTTTTTCAACAAGTCGGCCGTCTCCCACCAAGGCAGGGTGACCCAAAAAAGAAAGAAAATCCCCAAAAAGAAAATGCTTTCATCATCATTCAACACTTTCACCACACTCACACACTCACACATAATCACTGTTTTTGCAGAGGTGCTCAGAATACTGTACAACAGCTTAGAAGCATATACGTATAAAGATACACAACATATCCCTCCAAACTGCCAATATCCCAAACTCCTCCTTTAAAGTGCAGGCATTGTACTTCCCATTTCCAGGACTCAAGTCCGACTATATGAAAATAACCGGTTTCCCTGAATCCCTTCACTAAATATTACCCTGCTCACACTCCAACAGATCGTCAGGTCCCAAGTACCATTCGTCTCCATTCACTCCTATCTAACACGCTCACGCACGCTTGCTGGAAGTCCAAGCCCCTTGCCCACAAAACCTCCTTTACCCCCTCTTTCCAACCCTTTCGAGGACGACCCCTACCTCGCCTTCCTTCCCCTATAGATTTATATGCTTTCCATGTCATTTCGACTTTGATCCATTCTCTCTAAATGACCAAACCACCTCAACAACCCGTCTTCTGCCCTCTGACTAATACTTTTATTAACTCCACACCTTTTCCTAATTTCCACACTCCGAATTTTCTGCATAATATTTACACCACACATTGCCCTTAGACAGGACATCTCCACTGCCTCCAACGTCCCTCGCTGCTGCATTTACCACCCAAGGGTTCACACCCATATAAGATGTTGGTACTACTATATTTTATACATTCCCTTCTTTGCCTCCATAGATAATGTTTTTTGACTCCACATATACCTCAATCACCCTACCTTTTTTTTTCACTTCAATTTCCTTCCCCTTTTAAAACCACCCCACATTCCCCCCAAACAAAAACCATTCCTTTTCTTTCCCCCCCCCCCCCTTTGAACCCTTTTCTTTTTTAAACTTTTACCCCTCAAAAATTTACCTTTCATTCATTTTTAAAACCCAAATTTAACCACCCCTCTCCCAACCCCTTTGCTTTTTTCTTTTTTAAAACCAAAAAAAAAAAATTTAAAAAAAAAAACCCCCCCCCCCCCCCCCAAAACCAAAATCTATAAATATATAAAAAACCATGGTGACATTCACATCCCTGTCTAAGCCCTACTTTTCCCCGGGAAGTATTCTCCCTCTCTTAAAACACCCCCTAACCTGACCTCACATCCTCTAAAAACTTTTAAAACAGCATTTAGAACTTACCACCTTTTCCTATACTGCAACACTGCCACATTGCCCCCCTACCCACTCGATCATTGCTTTTCAAAATCCAAAATGCAATAAAAACTTCCCTCCCTTTTACTAAATACTGTTCACATATATGTTCAATGTAAAAATTGATCTACACATCCCCTACCCACCCTAAACCCCCCTTTGCCTCCGCAATCCTACATTCTGTCTTACCCTAATTCTTTCAATTATAACCCCCCGACACTTTTCCCTGGTATACCAATAAAAACTTATTCCTCTTAATTTTTAAAAAACTTTTTTGCCCCCCTTTTTCCCTTTATAAAAGGGACTATACGCTCCCCCGCCAATCCCTAGGTCCCTTTCCCCCTCTTTCATACATTTTTTAAACAAAAGACCAACCCTCAACATATATCCCCCCTGTTTTTAACATTTTGCCCATGACCCATCAGTTCCACTGCTTTAAAACCCCTTTTTCATTCTCGAAATGCCTCACGTACCTCCCCACACTTACATTCGCTCTTCTTCACTCCTAAAAGATGGATACCTCCCGACCAGTGTTTTTAAATTTCCTCAAAATATTCCCCGCCATTACCTAATACCTCCATCTCTCCATCTCTAACTCCCCTACTCTTTTTTAAGTGAAAATCCATATTTTTTCAGGTTTCTTAATTTAAAACCCCACTCCAAAATTTTTCTTATTTTCAAAAAAAATTTCTTACAGTGCCTCTCCCATCTATCATTGTTTCTCCTTTTGCCCCTCTCACCACTCCTTCACCTTTCTTTTACTTCCATATACTCTGCTTTTTTTATTACACTTCGTTTTGTAAAAAACCCTCTCAAAAGCAAAAACTTTTCTCTTTACCCCCACCCTTACTTCATCTTTCCCCAATCACCTCTTTCCCACCGCCCCCACCCTCCTATAACCAAAAAAACTTCTGCCCCATATTCAATACTGCTTTTTTAAAACTTTTCCAACCCCTTAAAAAAACCCCCCCACTACTCATTTTTGCACTAGCCCACCTTTCTCCAACAGTCGCTTATATCTCCCCCAACTTCAACAGACTTATTCCCCTATAATTTCTGCACTCTTTTTTTCCCTTTGCCTTTATAAAAAGGGACTATGTTGCTCTTTTGCCAATCCCTAGTACTTACACCCCCCATACTTTTAAAATAAACGCATCAACCCTCTAAAACTAATCCCCAACTGTTTTTAACATTTTCTATCTTTACCCATCAATCTCAGCTGCCTTACCCCCCCCTTTCATTTTAAACCCACTGCTGCCTCACGAATTTCCCTCACACTCACAAGGGGTTTCTTCCTCACCCTACAATTTGTTATTCCTCCTTGCCCTATCACAAATCACAGTTCCCTATTTTCATCAACTTTAAACAATTCCTCAAAATATTCCTCCTTTCCCCGATACCTCTAACTCTCTATTTGTAGTAGATTATAAAAAAAAAAAATTATAAATATGACTCGGCTTATTTTTATATTGTGTAGAATTGCAAAAAAGAAAAGTAACCTTAATCCACTGTCCTCGGGGTTAATATTATGATGTTGAAAAAATAAAAGATACTGAAAGCAGATTTTAAATTACTGAGCTTATTTAAAGGCTAGAACAAAAAGGGCACTTAATGGATAAAGGAAATGAAAAATTTTAGCTTTTCTTTATTGATATGTACAAGTGTAGCTTTTTCAATATATCTAAAAAGAGCTATATTGAAAATTTATTAAAAAGGGAAAGAAATATTATAAAATGGGCAAGTTGCAAAGGGGTGATACTTAAAAATTTTAAAATTTTTTAAAGGGACTTTGAATTTAATGATTAAATAAAAAAAAGGAATTCAAGAAAAATTTTTATACTAACGTATAAAATCAAGTAGGGTTTAAACAAATTGTTACCACATAGTATATAACTCAATAGAGGTTTAATTTTTATTTATATTGTAGCATAAAGTCAGGTAATGGTTGAAGAAATCTTAACATGTGAACATGGTTAAAACTCCCCCAAATGAAATTCAGAAAAAACCCCCAAGATAATGTCGGGAAACAAAGGAAAAAATAAAACAAAAGAAAATTTTAAAGGTATTGCTACCATAAAAATTAACTTTTTTTTTAAATTTATTTGTTTTATTAACACATCAGTCTTTCCCTACTGAGCGGGGTAACCCAAAAAAAGAAAAAACCTTTCATATCCTCCTAATCAATCCCTTTTGCCAGATGTGTGCCAACACTACATTCAAAAATTGCAACTTTTCCCCCCCCTCCTTAGAGCGCAGACACTGTACTTCCCCCCTCCAGGATAAAGCCGCAACCGGTTCCCTGAATCCTTCAAAAATGTTACTTTCTCACACTCCAACAGCCCCAAATCAAAAAAACTTTTTTGCCCCACTTTTTCCTATCTAACAAGCTCACACATGCTTGCTAAAAGTCTAAGTCCTTCGCACACAAAAACCTCCTTTACCTCTCCTCCCCCCATCAACCTTTCCAAGTCCAACCCCAAACCCCCCCTTTCCTTCCCCCTACAGATTTTCACCCCCCAAAGTCATTCGCTTCTTTCTATCCTTTCTAAAGTCTGAACCATCTCAACCCCCCTCTCCCACCCCGCTGTTAAATTTTTAGAAACCCACACCTCCTTCTAATCTCCAAACCGCGGGCTCCTGCATATATTCACACCACACATTGCCCCCCCAGCCCTCTCCTTTTTGCAACATTCACCACCCAGCTTCACATCCCTATAAGAGTGTTGGTACTTCCATAATCCATAATTCCTCACTTTCCTTCAAGGCTAACATTCTTTCTCTTCAGACTCCTCAGGACACTCGCCCTTTTTTTTTTTCCCATTTTTTCTATGATTCACCTCGTTTTTTTACGACCCTTGCGCAATCCAATCATGTAAAAAAACAGCGATGATAAGTAGGAGAGTGTATATAGTATGAAAGTACATAAATCATATGAAACTTTTAAATTCTTTAGAAGGTAAAAAAATAAAGATCAAAAAATTCTTCTTCATCGAACCACTAACTGATTTCCCGGTTTGTCTCTAACCCACCTTGGTGGTCACCATAATTCTTGACTGTTCAACTGTACAAAACCCTTGGTGGAAAAAGGGAGACTTGGGAAATTTTAAGCCAGAGCTCAAGGCGGTCCTGTCCAGACTGGTAGCATTTTTGGTTCGTATTATCGGCCACGGTGGATACTGCTGACGTACGCAATAAATAAAAGATATTTTTGATGAAAGCAGTTTAAGCAGTTGTGTTTTCTTACAAAAAAAAACAACATCCTAAAAAATTCTGGTTATATCTACAAACCCCAAATTTTTTGATAACATTACAATAAGCTTCTCTTTTACTTAAACGATGGAGTTCCGTTTCCCAAGACCATGTCAGTAAATGAACGTCGCTAAAAGGGAGCATACTATAATGGTATGGGTCTGTGTTAGTTTTTTTAAAGTACCTTTGCCCCATTTTTAAAATTTCTGGTATATTTTTTAAAAGTTTATACAGCATATACTGTACTGAATTGAATAAACAGAAAAAAGGAAATCAGCTCTAATATACATTATTTAGGGGATGCTAAGGGCAGAGAGCCCATCGTTAAATCCCAAATCGCAGTAAAAGAGTACGTTGCTAAGTGAGGAGAGGCTGTATACAGACTACACAGCTGGGATCATAATCTGTGTAATAAGAATGACACAATATCAGTACAATATTTTACTTAAAGCTTACTGCACTGCAGTATACAAAAAATTCCCAACTTAAATGTGCACCACCTATAAAAGCAGTATTAAACAGTTAAAACTACCGTACTTTTCCTATATAATATGCAAAATCAAAATACTTTAGTAGTATTTCAAATGAAAAGTTTAGCTAGTTTTACTATGTCAACAACTTCCTTTTCATTGGCTATTATTTTTGGGAACAAATTCTCCAGCCCAACACTGTCATCTAAATTCAGCTTACCAAGAATGAAAAATAGTTAACTAATTTCATTTTAAAATGAATTAGCAAAATGTGGAAATAAAAAAAAATCCTATAACTAAACATAAAAATATAAAAAAATCAATGGTATAATTTTTTGATAGTATTCCCGGTCTGTTTAGATAAGATTTTCTGCACCAAAAAAAAGAAGCATTAAAACTGAATGCTTACCCAATGATTAAAATTTTGCTGCACTGAAAAAGAACAAATTTTCCCTTTTAGTTTTTGGAAACATTCTGCACTCCCTCTCTGGAGTGAATTTTGTACAGTACATTATGTTTTAAATATGCTAACAAAAGAATAACTGTACTCCCCAAAATAATGGAAACTGTTATGGATACAAAGGTGTACCATGGACACTAATGACAAAAAAACATAGGTGCAGTGCAAGGTTTTATTGTGACAATGTTTCACCCTGTGGACAACAAGACTGACTGGATAAAGGCTTGCTCAGAAACCCTGGGAAATGATACTCACAATCATGACCAAAAGAAAAGTTAACATAAAATTTTTCCTTTATTTGGGAACATGTACATACATGCTATAAAATAATAAATACTGTAAAATAAAATTAAATCAATAAACAGTACAATGGGAAATAGAAAGGGGGCAAGACATAAAACATATAGATCCCCGAGACCAAAAAGTAATCGAAAACTCCTCTCTCCTATGTATGGGTTTTTTGTGTACTGTCCCGTTTCAGTATTGTGACTTTTTGTTTCCTGAGAAACTATCTAAAGTGCATTTCATTGATAAAGGAAACAGTGAATAAAGTTGGGGATACTGTAAGTGAATATAGCTCTTATACTGAACAATTTTAGCACACGAAAAACAAAAAATAAAACTGAATTTGTAAAAATGTACAGAGTATCTTATTTCAGTATATTTCAAAATATGGTCAATGGTATGAGATAACGAAAATCTGATTTTTTTAAAATTCAAAAATGCCCAATTTTCATTTCTGGACCTTTATGAAAACCCAAAAAAACACTAAGAAGGGGATTGTTTTCCAGTAAAAGTGGGCTAAGACAGGGATGAATGATGTCACTATGGTTATTTAACATTTACAGATGAGGTTGTAAAATAAGGGGTTTGGGGAAAGGCAAGGGACTAAAAGATAATGAATTTGATACCAAGTGGGAGGTGTCATAGCAGCTCTTTACTAATGACACAGTTACAATAGTTTGTGAATGAACTTGGAAGGGAATGTTAAAGACAGAAATTTAAAGTGGCCAAAAGAAAAAACAAGATGAAGAAAGCAGTAAAATATTTAGGCAATGAAAGATTGGATATCAGATTGGAGGGAAAGAGCATGGAGAACATAAATGTATTCAGATACTGTATTTGGAAGCGATTTTACGATGTTACTATACCCCCAAATATATTAAAATTTGTGTTATGCACCTAATAGGGTATAATCAAAAAATTTTTCAAACCCATCACAAATGTTAATTTTTCCTTGCACCAAGTAACAAAAAACAAATATTATTATAGTAGTGTGAAAATCCCAACAACTGTAGTCATTACTGACTATAATACCCACTGTCCCCCTGGGTAATTAAAACATTTTAAAACTTAAAATAATAATGTAATTTCATCTAAGTGTAGGTCTTCCTGCAATATGTGTAAGGGGCTACAGAATACTGTTACTTAGAGCACAAGAAAAATGTGCTGAAGGCATAAAAATAAAGTAGAGAGATGTGACATACCTGGAACAGTTCATCCCACTTGGTATTAACTGTGATGAGCTTCTCCCGAATCTCTTGAGCTACCTCTGGCCGACATGTTGCAGCCAGGAAATTACCAGTCTCGTTCATCTCACTGTGTCTCTCCTTCCATTCTCCCAAGTCCTAAAAAAAAAAAAAATTAAATATAATAAAATTTCTTTTAAGATTAATTAAGAAACAATACAAAACTTTTACTGCATTGGCAAAACCTAGTAGTCAGGTGCCTCATGACTCAATGGTAATACCTATGGCTCACAACAGAAAATCCCAGGTTATACCCTGGAATGAGTGGATGTTTCACATGTTTCCTTACACCTGCTGCTCCTGCTCACCTAGCATCGCTGTATGCACGTGGTGGTTTAGCGCTTAGTTTTGATTATAACAATAATAATAATAATGTTCACATAGCAGTAAATACTTAAGTAAAATTCACTGGTGTAAAAAAATAGATATAATGGTGTTAGTTAACTGTTTTCAGTCACATCTTGTGTTGCGGATGAATGGTTCAGAGAACCGACATGTTGATAAATTAAACACATGTGCAACGCTTGGGTATCTTTATTGAGGAACGTTTCGCCACACAGTGGCTTCATCAGTCCATACATAGGAAAAACTTGAAGAACAGGAGGAGAATGAGGTAATCAGTCCCTCAACCTTGAGTCGATGTGGTCAGTCCATCAATCTATTCAAGATTGATGGACTGACCTCCTGTTCTTCAAGTTTCTCCTATGTATGGACTGATTAAGCCACTGTGTGGCGAAACGTTTCCTCAATAAAGATACCCAAGCGATGCACATGTGTCTAATTTATCCACATCCTGTGTTATAAAACTATAGGTGCTTTTCAGTGTTAAAAAATCATTACAAGCAACTGAAAAAACATGACATGAGTATGGACCTACTTTAGCTTGATCCACTGAATTACATTTGGCACTATACAGGCAACAGCATTCTTACCTGAAAATAATCCATTTTATCTTCTTCAGAGAGGCTGACCATGGCTAAGGCATGGTCCAGCCAGGCTTCAAACTGCTGTGTAAGCTCCACAAACTTTTTCCAGTAAGTGATGACTTCTTCCAGCAAACTCTGAATACACCTCAGCTCCACAGAAACATTCTTCCAACGCTCATTCATCTCCAGCAAAAATTTGGCAATGCCATCACTCTCAGCTTTGCCTAAGTTAAGAGAGCAGGAGAGACTGACACAGTGAGAAGCCTATAATGTATCAGAAATGTTTTATAAGTGGTATAATATTTTATATGTAGTATATGCAGTCACAATTTGAACTAAGCTGAGACAAATGAGAATACCAATGAGAATAACCTGATGTTGCAATTAACTTAGTATAGAAGTCATTTTTGAATTTTTGTTTTCAGCAAGTTTGTATGGAGACATTTTTAATTGTACTTACTTAGATTGGAATCTTTCTTATATGCTTCAGAGACTTGTTGCATTTCGTGGAAGGCTCGATCGAACTCTTGGAAAATATTTCGAGTGCCAACAAAGGATCGATATTCTGCAAGAATTTGTTGGACTTCTTGTTCTTTGCCATATTTTACTGCCCAAGTCTTCAGTTTTGCTTCCACTAAAATTAGGAATGCTACAAGGCAGTACTGTAATAAAAGTTAAAAAATTAACAATACAGTGTATTGATATTTATAAACCAGAGAGCAGCATGTTATAAAAGACTTCAGATCCTTATAGACTTCTTAAATCATATGGCCGCTGGGGTAAAAGATTGTCCAAAATGCAGAAGTAGCATTATGCCTGTAATACTTCAGCACCTTCTGGTTCCACTAAATGACAGCTTAGTAATAAAATAACTTTCAATATACTGTTCCATCATCAAACAAAGTTGTTATTTACAACTATTAAATATGCTTCAGTCAAGGGGCCTTGATCAAGGACTGAAATGTTTTATAATAAATATGGCCTAGTGTTTGCTCATGTGTATTTTTAACCTCTTACTAGATCTTTCTTACATCACATATTTCACCTAATGCACAAAAATGAGCATTCTAAACTCTACACATCAATGACAGTTTCACTTCCTTATTACAAGAAACTGCTAGTTTTTATATACTGTACCATTATTTCTTCAAACATTTACATAAGATTTCATTTTAAATCTCTTACAGATAAACAAAACCTGTTACTTGATGATAAAGAGGATGTTATGAGGAATTAACCATTTGTTAAACTTTCTTTTTAACATCAGTCATTTTCCATAAGCAAAGGGTGACCCAAAGGAAATACACTCACCATCATTCATTCTCTGTTTTTTCATAAGTACACAGACATCACAATTACACAACTCATATGACCCTCTGAACTAAAAGATGCCCGCCCATCCTGCAGAGTGAAGGAACTCAAGAGTCCAGAGTTCAAGTCTCTCCATAAACAATAGAAACTCTTTAGTAAATATGGCTGGATTAGTTGAGCTAGGGGGAAAAGGGGGCATACATTAAAGCAGATATGTATAATGTGTAGCAAGACTCACTCTGTGTTCTAGGTACTTGAGTTTGATCTTCCTCTGTAAGGCACGAGGAGCAATAGTTTTCAGTCTCAGCTCCATGTACTCAAGCTGCTGTTGTGGAATAGAGGATGCATCTGAGGAGTTTTTCACTAGGTCGAACTTGGCTGTGATTGATGGTAACTCTGCGAAGAATACTTTGTGTTCTTCTATCTTCTTGCTTAACAGGCTGGCAATCTGGAAATAAGTTTTAATGCGGTCTTCTTCTCATATTTTGAACAGTAAGAATTTCATATATACATCCAGTTTCAAATTATCTCATGCTATCAAGCATATAAGACTCACAAATGTTACCCCAAACATTTCTGGGACTACTACCCCATCCCTTTCTACCTTCCATCCAAGATTTACACACCCAATTCTTCAACTTATCCCTCTCCACATACCCAAACCACCTCAACAATCCCTCCTCAGCCCTTTGAATTGTACCCTTGGTCACTTCACATCACCTTTTAATTTCTATGCTCCAAATTATCTGCATGACATTCACATCATACACTGTTTTCAGTCTCTATCCTTCGTTTTACTGTACCATTCAAAATCCATGCCTCACACCCACATAAGTGTTGGTACCATTACATTCACTAATACATTCCTTTTTTTTTTTTTGGTGCCAATCTGGTATGCTCATAATATACTGGAGAAAAAAAAAAGATGATTTTTCCTGAATTTTGTACTTTATAGGTGATTTTGACTGAATTTTGAATTTTTACTTTCCCTCAGTTGTTTTTCAAACAAATTCATTTCTGTTTTTATGTATGACCATTTGATGTAAGTGTGGTAAGCTCATAAAGAATCCCTATGTTTTACATGTTATGTTGGTTTCTTTATGCCAACTGCTTTATAGATCATGGGAGAGGACTGTTTCTGTTGCATAAAATGAGGGACACCTGTATCTTCATCCAACAATAAATGTACAAAAAAAAAAAAAAACTCAAATCACTAAATTTCCAAAAGTGTGGCAGTCATAATTTGTTTGTGAATGTAAATAATGAAATATGGATTTCTCACAACTTTGTATTGTATAAGGATTATGATTAAATTCTGGATTTCATTTTTTCTCATTTTTTTTGGTGCATGTGTGGTAAGCTCATTTTATGATCATTTTTACCTCATCATTCTTTCCATAAAGTTTGTCTTCAGTGCCCAGCATAGCCTCAGCACGACTCAGCCACTCGCCAATAGGTCCAAGTGCACCTGGCAGAGATGCATCTAAGAGCCATGTCCAGTGTGACATCTGAAGTGATACCTGAATGAGATGATAAGAAAAAAGAGAGATGAGCCAAGCAGCCAGTCAACACCTGTGAGTTATTATCAATTACATAACCGGTGCACGGCCACTGAAAAAAAGAGGCTACAAATAAAAATTTTCTTTAATATGAAGAAAAATAATAAACTTGAATAAGAAATATTAATAAAATTAGGAAACAATGTAATTCTTAATCAAATGCAGAATAGCGTACCATACTGTTTATAAAGGTAGGAATAAAAACTAGCAACTGATATCAACAGAACTGTACATATGTATATGTTTTGGTTAAAATGAGATTACAGTAATGAAAAAGGTACATACAGTACTGTAATTTCTACCCACTTGAATATGAGGAACAGTTCTGTAATTTACCCTCTCCTCCACCCCCCAACTCCTTGCCAACAAATTATGTACAAGAAAATTGCAAAACAATTCAATATATATAATTTTTCCATATAATAAATTTATGATTACAGTACTAAGTTACTAAGTACTTGAATTATTTTTGTAATTATTAATTTATAAATCAAATAATAAACATAATGTACAATATTACAAGATGACTACTACATTATCATACAGTTTTCTAGTGTTGATATACAATTTTTAATTTACAAATAATGTATATATACACAAACCATTACAACATATTCACAAATTACTTAAAAAAATAACAATACATATTGTATTTAACTTAAGTGAAACAGAAGGATATACCTAAGCATACAGTAATTGAAGTAATATTATTAGTAAGAAAGACACCTGTTGTAGTGGTTTTTCTAAATTGGTCTTTTTTGCCACTTGTCGGTGTCCTGCCTCCAGTTTCCGACAGTAATATTAATATGCAGTGTGAGAGCTGAATGTCAGTCAAACATTGTTTACAAGATAATGCAAACATGAAGAAAATACTAGGAACAAAATTTTCTGTACCTTATCCCAAGAAGCAGTGATGTCAGACCAGGAATCAACTGTGATGGATATCATCGATGACTGAGACTCCACCAAACTCTTCAGCTTCTCGTAGATCACTGTCTTTTCATCTGCTTCGGATTTGAGGGCTTTGAATCTCTGCAGGTTGCAATAAATAAAAAAAATGATGCATGGTCAAGGATTCTAGTGAATTACATTAAATAAAATAATCAGGGAGAGATTATGCAAATAAAGCCAAATGCCAAAAAAAATCAGGAACACATTAGCTCTGATCACTCAGCATTAGTACATGACATGAATACTGTAAGTGAATATGTCTCTACATAAACCCAGAGGTTAGGGCTATTGAGGAGTGGAAAATGTTTTTAAATAACAGTATTGGAAATAAAAGAATTAAAAAAAAATTAAAGTATGCAGGAGTAAATGATGTCAAGAGTTAAAAAGATGCTAAATGCAGGGAAGTTTTCATTGGTCCATTTCACCCACAGGGACTTTACTGAGTACATAAATAGAAAAAATGAGAATACTGCATCTTAAATTTTACACTTGGTGACTGAGGTCATGTGAGAGGTCTGAAAGTGTAGCATCAGAGGAGCACTGCTGGAGGCCTATTGGCCTACCAAAGTTGTTAAATTTCCATATTTCTAAAATGATGTTGGCAGTGGGAAGTGTTAGTTATATAGTGGGCTAAGAGGTCTAAACCCCCAGATGCAAATATATTGACCAGTGACTATGTAAGCACGATAGTTTAAGAAATTTCAATTACATACTGAAAATCATATGCTTTTCTAGACGATTTCCTCAACTATTTTCGGCAACTTATGATTTTTTAAACACGAGACTGAAGTCTTGGCTTAACCCTTTGATTGTTTTGGTCATATATATGGAGAAGAGAGGAATGTAGAGGAGAGAGAGAGATTTTGGGAGATGTTAAGTGAATGAATAGGAGCCTTTGAACCAAGTGAGAGAGTAGTTGTGGTAGGGGACCTGAATGCTAAAGTAGGAGAAACTTTTAGAGAGGGTGTGGTAGGTAAGTTTGGGGTGCCAGGTGTAAATGAAAATGGGAGTCCTTTGATTGAACTTTGTATAGAAAGGGGTTTAGTTATAGGTAATACATATTTTAAGAAAAAGAGGATAAATAAGTATACAAGATATGATGTAGGGCAAAATGACAGTAGTTTGTTGGATTATGTATTGGTAGATAAAAGACTATTGAGTAGACTTCAGGATGTACATGTTTATAGAGGGGCCACAGATATATCAGATCACTTTCTAGTTGTAGCTACACTGAGAGTAAAGGTAGATGGGATACAAGGAGAATAGAAGCATCAGGGAAGAGAGAGGTGAAGGTTTATAAACTAAAAGAGGAGGCAGTTAGGGTAAGATATAAACAGCTATTGGAGGATAGATGGGCTAATGAGAGTATAGGCAATGGGTCGAAGAGGTAGGGGTAGGTTTAAAAATGTAGTGTTAGAGTGTTCAGCAGAAGTTTGTGGTTACAGGAAAGTGGGTGCGGGAGGGAAGAGGAGCGATTGGTGGAATGATGATGTAAAGAGAGTAGTAAGGGAGAAAAAGTTAGCATATGAGAAGTTTTTACAAAGTAGAAGTGATGCAAGGAGGGAAGAGTATATGGAGAAAAAGAGAGAGGTGAAGCAATGTAAAAGAGAGCATATGAGAGAGTGGGTGAGATGTTAATCAACAATTTTGTTGAAATAAGAAAAAGTTTTTGGAGTGAGATTAACAAGTTAAGGAAGCCTAGAGATCAAATGGATTTGTCAGTTAAAAATAGGAGAGGAGAGTTATTAAATGGAGAATTAGAGGTATTGGGAAGATGGAGGAATATTTTGAGGAATTGTTAAATGTTGATGAAGATAGGGAAGCTGTGATTTCGTGTATAGGGCAAGGAGGAATAAACATCTTGTAGGAGTGAGGAAGAGCCAGTTGTGAGTGTGGGGGAAGTTTGTGAGGCAGTAGGTAAATGAAAGGGGGTAAGGCAGCCGGGATTGATGGGATAAAGATAGAAATGGTAAAAAGCAGGTGGGGATATAGTTTTGGAGTGGTTGGTGCAATTATTTAATAAATGTATGGAAGAGGGTAAGGTACCTAGGGATTGGCAGAGAGCATGCATAGTTCCTTTGTATAAAGGCAAAGGGGACAAAAGAGAGTGCAAAAATTATAGGGGGAGAAGTCTGTTGAGTATACCTGGTAAAGTGTATGGTAGAGTTATTATTGAAAGAATTAAGAGTAAGACAGAGAATAGGATAGCAGATGAACAAGGAGGCTTTAGGAAAGGTAGGGGATGTGTGGACCAGGTGTTTACAGTGAAACATGTAAGTGAACAGTATTTAGATAAGGCTAAAGAGGTCTTTGTGGCATTTATGGATTTGGAAAAGGCGTATGACAGGGTGGATAGGGAGGCAATGTGGCAGATGTTGCAGGTGTATGGTGTAGGAGGTAGGTTACTGAAAGCAGTGAAGAGTTTTTACGAGGATAGTGAGGCTCAAGTTAGAGTATGTATGAAAGAGGGAAATTATTTCCCAGTAAAAGTAGGCCTTAGACAAGGATGTGTGAGTCACCGTGGTTGTTTAATATATTTACAGATGGGTTGTAAGAGAAGTAAATGCGAGGGTCTTGGCAAGAGGCGTGGAGTTAAAAGATAAAGAATCACACATAAAGTGGGAGTTATCACAGTTGCTCTTTGCTGATGACACTGTGCTCTTGGGAGATTCTGAAGAGAAGCTGCAGAGGTTGGTGGATGAATTTGGTAGGGTGTGCAAAAGAAGAAAATTAAAAGTGAATACAGGAAAGAGTAAGGTAATGAGGATAACAAAAAGATTAGGTCATGAAAGATTGGATATCAGATTGGAGGGAGAGAGTATGGAGGAGGTGAATGTATTCAGATATTTGGGAGTGGACGTGTCAGCGATGGGTCTATGAAAGATGAGGTGAATCATAGAATTGATGAGGGGAAAAGGGTGAGTGGTGCACTTAAGAGTCTGTGGAGACAAAGAACTTTGTCCTTGGAGGCAAAGAGGGGAATGTATGAGAGTATAGTTTTACCAACGCTCTTATATGGGTGTGAAGCATGGGTGATGAATGTTGCAGCGAGGAGAAGGCTGGAGGCAGTGGAGATGTCATGTCTGAGGGCAATGTGTGGTGTGAATATAATGCAGAGAATTCGTAGTTTGGAAGTTAGGAGGAGGTGCAGGATTACCAAAACTGTTGTCCAAAGGGCTGAGGAAGGGTTGTTGAGGTGGTTCGGACATGTAGAGAGAATGGAGCGAAACAGAGTGACTTCAAGAGTGTATCAGTCTGTAGTGGAAGGAAGGCGGAGTAGGGGTCGGCCTAGGAAAGGTTGGAGGGGGGGTAAAGGAGGTTTGTGTGCGAGGGGCTTGGACTTCCAGCAGGCATGCGTGAGGGGTGTTTGATAGGAGTGAATGGAGACAAATGGTTTTTAATACTTGACGTGCTGTTGAGTGTGAGCAAAGTAACATTTATGAAGGGGTTCAGGGAAACCAGCAGGCCGGACTTGAGTCCTGGAGATGGGAAGTACAGTGCCTGCACTCTGAAGGAGGGGTGTTAATGTTGCAGTTTAAAAACTGTAGTGTAAAGCACCCTTCTGGCAAGATAGTGATGGAGTGAATGATGGTGAAAGTTTTTCTTTTTCGGGCCACCCTGCCTTGGTGGGAATAGGCCAGTGTGATAATAAAATAATAAAAAAATGTACGTCTTACGAGCCAATGTGTCTGACATATACATACTCAAAAATTCCAGTGGCTTCAAATCAAGCAGAAGAAAGCTGGTAGGCCCACATGTGAGAGAATGGGTCTGTGTGGTCAGTGTGCACCATATAAAAAAAATCGTGTAGCACGCAGTGCATAATGAGAAAAAAAAAACTCTGACCATGTTTTTGGATTAAAACGGCGACTTTGAGGTGTATTTATGGTTGCATTCTTGTTTTCTTGACTCAATCGATAGAATGGAAAACATATTATAGAAATAGAAGTTATTTTGATTGGTTTTACTATGAAAAGAATATTGAAATGGAGCTCAAAGTGGCAGAAATGTTCGATTTTTGCTGATGTTCAAGAGTAAACAAATGATGTCATTGTCCAATAAATGTCCAACTCGCCATTCTAATACACAGTCACAAATGGGTTGACGGTATTTATACAATTATTACAATATTGCAGTAGTCTGCATAACAGTAAATCTTCTATTTTTTGAATGAATAAAAATTCAAAATAAAAAGCAAGAGTATTATAACAGGGGCCTGGAGACGTGACTGATGAACAGAGAAAATGTTATTTTAGTGCCAGGAATGTCTGCATTGTTCATTCTGGACCATATTTTGAAATCGGCATTTTTTAATTTGCGTGAAATTGGCCAAATTGCCAATTTCTGACCACTTTATTGGGTAGTTGAAATCGGTAAATGGCCAGTTTCTTGTGCTCAGTCGATAGAACAAATGGAGCTCTAAAGAAATACCTATGAGTTTGGTCGACTGGAACAATGGAATTGGCCAAAAATAGGGCTCAAAGTGGGCAAAATCGCTGATGCATAAATATCGCCGAGGTCGCTAACTTCGCAAGAGCATAATTCCTCAAGTTTTCGATCAAATTTCATACTTTTGGTGTTGTTACCATCGGGAAAAGATTCTCTATCATTTCATAAGAATTTTTTTTTTTTTTTCAAATATTTTTTTGACACCAGGAGACACTTCAGGATTTGGGTTTGTGACAGTCAAATGGTTAAGCCCCAACCCCCAATTGAAATCCTGGTTGTGCTACTGGCAATAGGTTTGGCCAAGGTGAATATGCCACTGATTAACAGTGTTGGATATTTTGACTGTGAAGACTCTAGAAATCTGTATTTAATTCTGTCACAGCATAGGTCAAAGCCTCCTGCAAAGCTCCTCTGACATTCTGCTTCCTCATTTTTCACCTGACCTCAGATGCCAAGTGTGTATTGTGTAAGATGCACTGTTCTCGTGTTTTCTATGTACAGTGGTACCTCAAATTTCGAACAGCTCCCAACTCGAACAATTATGTAAGTGTATTTTTGTAAGTGCTTTTGTAAGTGTAATTTGGGGGTCTGAAATGGACTAATCTAATTTACATTATTTCTTATGGGAACAAATTTGTTCCTTAACGGCACTCGAACAGCCTTCTGGAATGAATTATGGCCGAAATTCGAGGTGCCACTGTACTACTTGATAAAGTAGCTTCCCTATATTTTGTGTCTTCTTATCAAAAAGCATGGTGTTCGAAGCAGCCTGTATTACTCATGTGGCAGAATCAAGACTATACTTGTCCAAAGTTACCTTTGCACGTTTCTGATTTATGTGAAAGTTGATGTGTTAATTATACAAAGTTAGACTATGGTACTAATAATCTCTCTCAATGCAAAATCCTTCAAATGGCTGAAACAGAACTATATAGACTTACCTCATAGTTGATGTTGCCATGTGTTGCAGGATCATGCAGGGTGTCAAGCCAATTGGATGTGTGAGAAAGCCAAGTTGTGAGCTCTGAATATTCCATCTCTATCTCACTGAACATGTCCCCTGCTGATGCAGCTTCCAACGTTGGACTAGTGCATGGCTGAAAAAAACAGGAGAAACCAGAACCTCAGCCAGATTTATTTTAAAAAAACTGATATTTACCATTATTAAAATTTTAATATGGAGTATTCCAAGATATAATTACTGTACAGCATTTATGTGTATAATTTAGAAAAAAGTAAATAAAATTATATATTATGGGATAAAATTAAGGCATGATAAACCATCCAACATTTATCTTCCTATAGCACTTACTGGGACTGAGGTGGTACCCGGCTCTGGGAATTTATTAAGGAATGCAGCCACATAAGTCATAATGGACTTTTCATCAGGTTTATCAACATCCACATCTTCAGAATCCAACAAGTGAGGGATGCCCAGACCCTTTTCAGCAATACGGAAGGCAGCCTCTAAGCGAGCTTTGTTTGTCATCTGATTCATTGCCTGTGCAAAGAATTTAAAGTTTAGAATGTATTACCCCATCAAAACTTTGATTAGAGAAAGTATGATCTTATTTGCATAAATATGATCTAATTAAAATATGTGATGAGCAATTTGTACAGAATACCAAAATTTTAAATCCAACAATGAGAATTTTATAAATAAAAAAACTTAGAAATGTAAAACAAATTATGACTAAATCATAAAATCCAAAATACTATTTCTCTTAAAAAAGTAAAGGAAATTATGCATAAATGATAAAGAAATTGGATTCTTACCTGTAAATTAATTAGTCGTGGGTTGATGCATTGTATGAGAGCAACAAATGCTGTGCCATCACGCCAACTACATCCAAAATCATTCACTATTATGCCATATTTCCTGCAAGAAAACCACGTTTATCGATTCAATGTGATTCTAACTAATTCATCACTGTCTACAGAAGGGCATTATTTATTTATTTTATATTATTAACACATCAGCCGATTCCCACCAAGGCAGGGCGGCCCAAAAAGGAAAAACTTTCATCATCATTCAATCCATCACTGTGTTGCCAGAGGGGTGCTTTACACTACAGTTTATAAAACTGAACAGTGCAGTGCAGACACTGTACTTCCCATCTCTAGAACTTAAGTCCAGCCAGCCAGTTTCCCTGAATCCCTTCATAAACGTTACTTTGCTCACACTCCAACAGCACGTCAAGTATTAAAAACCATTTGTCTCCATTCACTCCTATCAAATATGCTCATGCATGCTTGCTGGAAGTCCAAACCCATCACACACAAAACCTCCTTTACCCCCTCCCGCCAACCTTCCCAAGGCCGACCCCTATCCCGCCTTTTCACCACTACAGATTTATATACTCTCAAAGTCATTCTGTTTCATTCCATTCTCTCTACATGTCCGAACCACCTCAACAACCCTTCCTATATTATCCTATGTTATTAACCGTAAACGGTCCAAACGTATATATACGTTTTTTCAACATTTGAAAGTATGTAAAAAAAGTAGATCTTCCTTGTGTTTTTTTACATTTGAAAATGTGTAAAAAACTTTGATCTACTTTTTTTTTTTTGTTATACATGTATTTGAAAATATGTAAAAAAAACGTAGATCTACTTTTGTAGCACTACACATGTGAACGTAGATCTGCTTGGACCGTTTACGGGTTAAAACTAGATGAGACTCAATAATACAGGTGTTTACACCAACACTGAAAATTCTTCAATCATCTTCATAACAAAATTAATAATTAATAGATATTATTAAATATAATAACATTAAAATACACGATTATTATTATTATTTTATTATCACACTGGCCGATTCCCACCAAGGCAGGGTGGCCCAAAAAAGAAAAACTTTCACCATCATTCACTCCATCACTGTCTTGCCAGAAGGGTGCTTTACACTACAGTTTTTAAACTGCAACGTTAACACCCTCCTTCAGAGTGCAGGCACTGTACTTCCCATCTCCAGGACTCAAGTCCGGCCTGCCGGTTTCCCTGAACCCCTTCATAAATGTTACTTTGCTCACACTCCAACAGCACGTCAAGTATTAAAAACCATTTGTCTCCATCACTCCTATCAAACACGCTCACGCATGCCCGCTGGAAGTCCAAGCCCCTCGCACACAAAACCTCCTTTACCTCCTCCCTCCAACCTTTCCTAGGCCGACCCCTACCCCGCCTTCCTTCCACTACAGACTGATACACTCTTGAAGTCATTCTGTTTCGCTCCATTCTCTCTACATGTCTGAACCACCTCAACAACCCTTCCTCAGCCCTCTGGACAACAGTTTTGGTAATCCCGCACCTCCTCCTAACTTCCAAACTACGAATTCTCTGCATTATATTCACACCACACACATTGCCCTCAGACATGACATCTCCACTGCCTCCAGCCTTCTCCTCACTGCAACATTCATCCCCCCATGCTTCACACCCATATAAGAGCGTTGGTAAAACTATACTCTCATACATTCCCCTCTTTGCCTCCAAGGACAAAGTTCTTTGTCTCCACAGACTCCTAAGTGCACCACTCACTCTTTTTCCCTCATCAATTCTATGATTCACCTCATCTTTCATAGACCCATCCGCTGACACGTCCACTCCCAAATATCTGAATACGTTACCCCTCCTCCATACTCTCTCCCTCCAATCTGATATCCAATCTTTCATCACCTAATCTTTTTGTTATCCTCATAACTTTACTCTTTCCTGTAAGGAAAGGAAATTTCTTGACAGTGCCTCTCCCACTCTATCATCTGCTCTCCTTTTGCACTCTCTCACCACTCTCTTTACCTTTCTTTTACTCTCCATAACTCTGCTCTTCTTATAACACTTCTGCTTTGTAAAAACCTCTCATAAGCTACCTTTTTCTCTTTTATCACACCCTTTACTTCATCATTCCACCAATCACTCCTCTTTCCTCCTGCCCCCACCCTCCTATAACCACAAACTTCTGCCCCACATTCTAATACTGCATTTTTAAAACTATTCCAACCCTCTTCAACCCCCCCACTACTCATCTTTGCACTAGCCCACCTTTCTGCCAATAGTCGCTTATATCTCACCTGAACTTCCTCCTCCCTTAGTTTATACACTTTCACCTCCCTCTTACTTGTTGCCACCTTCCTCTTTTCCCATCTACCTCTTACTCTAACTGTAGCTACAACTAAATAATGATCCGATATATCAGTTGCCCCTCTATAAACATGTACATCTTGGAGCCTACCCATCAACTTTTTATCCACCAATACATAATCTAATAAACTACTTTCATTACATGCTACATCATACCTTGTATATTTATATATCCTCTTTTTCATAAAATATGTATTACTTATTACCAAATCTCTTTCTACACATAGCTCAATTAAAGGCTCACCATTTACATTTACCCCTGGCACCCCAAATTTACCTACTACTCCCTCCATAACATTTTTACCCACTTTAGCATTGAAATCCCCAACCACCATTACTCTCACACTTGATTCAAAACTCCCCACGCATTCACTCAACATTTCCCAAAATCTCTCTCTCTCCTCTACACTTCTCTCTTCTCCAGGTGCATACACGCTTATTATAACCCACTTTTCACATCCAATCTTTATTTTACTCCACATAATCCTTGAATTAATACATTTATAGTCCCTCTTTTCCTGCCATAGCTTATCCTTCAACATTATTGCTACTCCTTCTTTAGCTCTAACTCTATTTGAAACCCCTGACCTAATCCCATTTATTTCTCTCCACTGAAACTCTCCCACCCCCTTCAGCTTTGTTTCACTTAAAGCCAGGACATCCAGCTTCTTCTCATTCATAACATCCACAATCATCTCTTTCTTATCATCTGCACAACATCCACGCACATTCAGACTTCCCACTTTGACAATTTTCTTCTTCTTATTCTTTTTAGTAATCTTTACAGGAAAAGGGGTTACTAGCTCATTGTTCCCGGCATTTTAGTTGACTTTTATTATTATTATTATTATTATTATTCGTGACTTTGGGGCTGATGAAATTATGGGGGTTTCGGTCTGCTTTGGCACTGACCCTGTTTCAAATCTCTGGGGCCCAGTCGCTGAACTCATTATGTGCCTCTAACCTTTTGACTTCTACCCATAAGATGGGTATAGGGTGCATAATAAAGATATTAAACCAGCCATACTATCTACATTCAGATGATTTTCAATGGCAAATAAATTACATTACAGCAACAATAAGGAGTTTCTCACTTGGTGATGGTCTGTCGAACCCACTCGAGGAGTGCTTTCTTGGCACCCAGCTTCCACTTCTCAGCAGCAGCCGAGCGTCGGGTTACTGAAGGGGGTCTGTCGCGAGATATGGTGCACCCTTCTGATGCTGATCCCACTGAGAAGGGTGAATCACTTCTTAATCCACCCTCCTGCTCCATCAGCTGACTTAGGCGCTCCAGCTGACGGGTATTCTCCTCGATCTGGCAGAAGGCATTGATTGGTGTACTGTATTTGGAAGTGAGTCACATAATGCTGAGGGAGAAGACTGGAAGGTAAAATGAAAGACGGAAGGTGTGTCCTCACTAAGTTACGACTGGGAGAAAAAATTAAAGCTCTACCTCTTTGACCTATCTTTTAACCTTCAATACTCACTAGAGCTTAATTGTTATCTGTTTACAATAATGTTTAGGAATGCTTAGTTAATCTTAAGTTAATTTTAAGCCTGCCCATAATGCTCTGCATACAAGGGGCTTTGGCATGCTGCACTCAATTGTATTCTTTTGTACTTTTCTGTATCATGTTCAAATTAATAAATAAATAAATAAATAAATAAACTGGCTGATGTAGTTCCTAGACTCCTGGGCTACAAACATAAGTATCTAATTTTGAATCTTTGTATAGAATTTGCTTCCATTATCTCATCACCTGGCATATTAATTTTGTTTGACACTGACACATTAGAAAAGTACTCCCAAACTTCCACTGTGACTAATCCATATCTATTTTATCTGTGTCAAATTTGTTTAGGGTGAATACCAGGTCCAACCTTGCTGGGTCATCCTCTCATCTCTCTGTCTCTCTCTCTCTCTCTCTCTTTCTCTCTCTCTCTCTCTGATTATGTCACTGACATGTTAGCATATAGTTTCTCATTACAACCTCCATCATTTTAGCACTCCATGTTTCTGGTCCCATGCTTAGATATGTGGTTAAGTCTCTCATTCCTGTCTTAGTTTCATGCTGTTTACTGGAGAGTTGTACATCACTGCTATCATTACCCTGAGTTCTCTACTCTTCAGTATGTCTGCTACACAGTCATATGACTCCCCTCTGTTTATTCCTCTTATCTCCTCAAAACTTCACTGGTTTCTGATTAGAAGTGCTACTCTTTTCCCTTAACTGTCTCCTCTATCCTTCCTAAGACTCTAATATCCATCTGCAAACATCTAAGACAATCTACACGTTTTGTCTCTGTGAGCACCATGATGTGAGGGGATACCTCTTCTATTTGCTAGTTGCATTTGTCACTCTTGTTTATTATCCCATCTGCATTTGTTATCACATATTCAATTTCCTTTCTCTTACTGTGCTCCAGTTTTCAATGTCCTGATGCTTACTAATGAGTCAGGGGAGCTAGGAGAGGAAATTGGGGTTAGGGGTTAGAATAAGGAGTGACTGTTGGGAAGGTTCTTGCACTAGAGAGGGTCATGATTGTGGGAGTAGGTGAAGGAGGATAGGGAGCATAGGAGGGGTGGGTTTTAGGGGGTTAGGGTGAGGGATGGTGTGTGGTCATACTCTGTGCTTGTGTGAGTCGGACTTCAGCTCTTGGATCCTTTATCTCAACCTTCAGTCAGCTGGTGTAACTGTGAACCTAAGCATTCTCAGCACATTATGTCCAATTAAGGGAATAGTAATACATGTGACATAAATTAATATTAAATATAATAATCAGGGCATTTTTTGTATCCACCAGTGTATCCTGGTTGCAAATAACAAATAAGTCTGGGAGTTGAAATGAGCCAATAAGATTTTCATGAATGTTGGTATGTGTAATAGAGAATAAATGGGTGAGAAAGTTTTAGGAAGGTATTTAAGATCTATGAGAGAATTGTAAAGACATGTGGGCATAAAAGAATAACCTTTAGAAAACACACAAATATTATAATAAATTTTAAGTTATGATATTAAGTAAAATAAATAAGTTTAGTAGTAATTTTAAATAGTTTGTATAATTAATTATATATCATGAGTTGATAGCAATTAAATGGGAAAGAGTTTTTCATGTCATGCAGTGTCCACAAAGAAAAATAAATATTTTAGACTACAACAAAAATGTGATTTAAATATTTTATTTATAAAATATAAATCATCACTAAATTATTACTTGACTTATAGCATATGATTAATAGAAATTACTGTATATACCTTAGCAATACTGCATGAAAACTGCAAAAAAATACACATCTTAAATAAAGAAAAGTGCAAAATAGCATAAAACTAACATTTTATGATACATATAACATTGCAGGCTACAAATTCTAATCGTGTTAAGAGGCTTGCATGGAACATACTGGAGGCTAGCACTAACCTGCCATCATATACACCATCAACTGACTCATGCTGTTTGACTCGCTTATCATTATATACTTAGAAATCGACATTAAGTTGACAATATCAATATACGTATATTAATATATATCGTGGCGAATATGTAAAACTTGCGATCTTGGCTTAAACAGCAATGCTCATCTTGCCCTATAAGACAAGCGAAAATTTGTGTATGCAATAATTTCGCAAAAGTCATCCTGAACCTAACGATAAAAATATATTCCACTGTGTTTGTTTAGTATTAAATTATTGTAAATGCACTTATCTAAAATACATTTAGTTGGATTAGGCTAAAATAAATTGTGCTTGTTATAATAAGGTTAGGCAAGTTTTCTAACATTCTTTTGGTGCAAAATTATAAATTTTAACATTAACATTAATGAAAAAAATATCTTTAAACGTATAAGAGAAAATTTTAGAAAGGACTTACTTTTAAATGAGTTCTTGCTAAATGACAAGTTTTACCTATTCAGCATGACATTATATATATATATATTATTTTATTTACTTATTTATTATTTATTTATTTATTCACCATGGGGAAGTGGAAGAGAATTCTTCCTCGGTAAGTCATGTGTGTCATAAGAGGCAACTGAAATGCTGGTAGCAAGGGACTAGTAACCCCTTCTCTTGTATAGCTTACTAAATTTAAAAAGAGAAACTTTTGTTTTTCTTTTTAGGTCACCCTACCTTGGTGGGATATGGCCATCTTGCAACACTGCATTGCTCCTGGTGATTGTATTGCAATTCACTTTACAGTGTTTCACTAATACAGCAGTTTTCAATTATACCCATACCCATTCTTCATTAATTCAAACTTCCTACAAGAAATATATTCACCAATCACTTAAGGATAATGATGAAAATATTTTAAGGTAAGTAATGTGTGTACTGTAAGTGCATTTTTTAGGCCCAACTCTATTGCTCACTTAATATAAGATAGTGTAAACATGTTATCAGGCTTTTGTATGCTTTTGAAAGTGAAAAAAAGACTATGACTCACTTTACAGCAGCAGCCTGGAACCTAACCTGCTGTATAAGCAGGGCCCTCCTGTGTGTATATTTTTAACACACACACACACACACACTGGACCAGCTGTGACTCGACCCCTGTAACCACATATAGGTGAGCACACACATGCTTAAGCTTCCTACATACATATCCGGGGCGTTCTGTTACTTGGCTTCCCCCATAATCTGATTGTCTTGAATTTTATTCCACCCCACTAACAGTGTTTCCTAGCATTGGTCTGGATCAGATGGCATCCCTTCACTGGCTCAGCACACACACCAACCATATTGAAGCCATGAAAGTCTTCTTCCATCCTATCTGACTGGGAGTAAGACTTAAATTGAAAAATTAACCATATTTTTTTTTTCAAACAGGGTCATTGGATTTCCCACACCAATCACTTTTCATGCTGTCTTTTTTTTTTATGGATGTCAATATAAATCAGTTTAAAGTGATGTTTAAAGAGATGCAGTGCTATAAAGAAAACGTCAAGCCCTAGTCCATTTTTTTTTTGCAAATGATGCAAAACGCTACAGTACTTGAAAATAAACCAAAGGATTTCGTTCAGCTTACAGCGATATGACATCGTTAAAAAATTATCCAATGTTTGTCAGTCATTAAATGAGTGCATCCACTCTCCCTCTCCCCCCTTATATACAGAACGTTAAAATGCATATATTCTCTCCTCTTCCTCTTATATACAAAATAAGAATATTTTTTATGCCAGAAATACACAGCACACTAGTGGCTTTCTTGTTTGCCTAACAATATTTTATCACATGTAAACTACATTTCATATATACCGCAGAAAAGAAATAAATTAAATGTATTATTTGCATCCAATGGATTATTATTGTAGAAAATTTTGGATTTTTCTATGTTCAGCATGTGAGAGTTTGAATAAAACAATATGTAACTGTGTAATAAAATATGATGCTGGTTTGACCCTTTCAAGAGGTTTCGAGTGAGGGGGAAAAGATGTAAGTAAGTAAGTTTATTCAGGTATACACATATACAGTTACATAGAATTATCATACATAGCAGCATATGTGTAGAGAACCTGGGATAACCCAAAAAAGTCAGACAGAGTGACTTATTTAATGTGTGAACACTGGACTAAACTGTGCAATGTAATCAGGTATTCTCGAAGGTCAATTGGAGTTTTTCGGCCAGAATTTGTAATAGGAACCCGTGTTAATGTCCCCTACTGAAGAATTGGGATAAATAGTGTGGAAAACCCTTACAACTCAGCAACCAGTATGGAAAAATAGAGGACACCAGATCTCCCAGGAGCACACCTCAGATAAATGATGCTTACCCATAATGTACAGTAGTTTTTGCATTGGCCATCATAAATTGTAGCTGCTAGGGTAAGGTCAGGGTGTGTACCATCAGCATTAAGTGTCTTCCTATGATAAATGGTAAGTGGTAATACTAATTTCTTTTGTGTACCCAGCAAACTTAATCATGTACAGTCCACAACTTTAATTTACCAGAGTAGCTGGTTTTAGTATTGTAATTATTAATTTAATGTCAGGCCTTGCTTATTGTGAGAGTGGTAGGGAGTGGACATCGAGGGAGTTACAGTTCAGCGACCTGCTGTGACTTACCTCACCCAAATTACTTGGTTAATAATTCTGATAATGGCCTGTAAGCCTCCTGCAGGTGATTTGCTAACATAATAATAATTCATTATTATTATTATTATTATTATTTATTATTATTATTATTATTATTATTATTAGTATCCATCTTTCTGAAAATTCAGCTCCCCCTCCTTTAGTCAGAAAATTAGTTTCAAGTGATGGATACCATGTATGTGCATGCCAATGCAGGAAACTTAAAATAAAAATGCATAAAATA